TTGTTTTTAAAATATTGATATTTTGATAACATAAATTTTTTGTTTGTTAAATATTTTTATATAAATTTTTTAAGTAGTTAGTCAGTTATCAAGTCAATATATTTTAAAGTGTTTTTTTTAAAATAATATTTTGTAAGACTTAATTTTCGTTTTAGTTTTTTAGTTAATTAATTTTTTAATATTGATTTCTTAAATAATTAGCTTAAATATTTATATTTTTTTGTTAGTTAAGTTTTTTAGTATTATTTAAGTTTTTTTATTCTCTTACTTATTTTGATTATATTGATTTTGTTAAATAAATAACATAGATATTAAGTTAATATCCTCTTTTTTGTTAATTTAACTTTCTCGATATGGACTTTCATTTTAATTGTATTGACATATTGTAAGAAATAATTTATGTTTTGGTTTTTGTTAGTTAAACATTTTTTATATTTATTTCTTCAGTAATTAGCATAAAGTATCATTTTTGGTTTTGTTAAGATTTTTGTGTTAATTTTTTAAATATTTCTCCAAAAATTATAAGTTTTAGATGACCTTTTTTGATAATTTAAGATGAATGTTTTTTGGTAGTATTAATATTTTAAATAACAATTTTATATGATTATATTAAAAATTAATCTTAATATTTTTTCTAAATAAATTACTCATTTAAAATATATATGCTAATTTTTTTTTTAATTTAAATTTTTCGTTATTGATTTACATATTTGTTTTTGTTAGTTTAGTTTTTTGTGACAATGAGTTTCCACTTTATTTTCACAATAGATTTAGACTTTTGACATAAATTTATTTTATTTAGTTAAAAAAATTATCTTAATTTTCCATTCTATTGTGATAATTTTATATTTTTGTATGTTTTAATTTATTTAAATTATTAATAATTTTTTATTTTTTTATGTTAATGAAAAACGCTGATATAGACTAATCAGATTGAGTATACATGTCTTATATATGTCTTATATGGACGCTCTCATTGGCCTAAGACATCAACACATACCACAACTAATATATTTTAAGTTAGCAGTTCAAATTTTAATTGTTTGTCGTGATTAAAATTTTAAAATAATTTAATTATGGTTTTTAAATACAGTTTTTAATAATTTTGTTCAATATATATGATTTTTCTTTCATAATCTATTTATATGTTAATTTACCTTTTTATTGTTAACAAAAAAATAAGATCTATTTTTAAAACTCTTTTTTATTAATAACTAACTTAAAATTTAGAAACTTTACTAATAACAATAAAAACAAAATTAATTAAAATTTAGAAATTTTTCTTACAACAATTAAAACGAATTAATTAATTTTAATATACAATATATAATTAACTAAAATAATGATGATGTGTACCAATAGAATTGAATCTTTAAATCCTATGTAGACACCCTTAGAGGCATTTATCATCAACTTTTATTAGTAATAGATAGATAGACTATATAGTATGATAACTTAATTGATTTTTAATATTAATATCTAAAAAAAGAAGACTTACAAAAGGCTATAATAACTTTTTTTGTCAAACTTTTTGTGTACACTAAATAATGTAATTACAAAATTTGACTTTACTCATTTGAAACATAAATTTAATGTAATGCAGATTGTTTATTAAACAGATTCTTTATCTCTCATTCATTCTTAAATATATGTACAAAAAGTATATATATTTATGGTTAGCAACAAAAATAAATTAAAAATTAAATCTCAATCTATAAATCAGTATTTATGTTAATATACTTTTTAAAATTTCTAAGTTAATACTTTCAGTTGAAAGGAAGAGACTTAACATAGATATTCATGCAACAATAGAATTGAAAGATTTAGATGTAAAGCTCTAGTAAAAATATTGGTATATTGATTGGAGCTAGAAACGTGCATCAAATATAAGAATTCATTCTTCACTTGATCCTGAACTATATGGCAATCAATTTCTACATGCTTCGTGCGTTTATGAAAGATAGAATTAATGGCTATATGCATCACTTAGTTGTTATCATAGAAAAGCTTTGCATTGTTAGAAATCAGTATCTTCAAATCTGTGAGTTGAACGTCGTGTATTAGAGCAAGTGGCCCAACCAGCATCAGAGAAAGCATCAAAACACAGCTCGGAGGTAGCATAATAGAATAAACCTTTATCTGGATTATCCTTGATATACCAAAGTATCTTATAAGCAGTCGTAAGATAAACATCGGTAGGAGAGGACATAAACTGGTTGAGGCAGTGAACCTCAAAAGTAATATCAGACTGAGTGATAATCAAGTAAAGAAGACGCCCCACAAGAGCATGATAAGGAGTGGGATTAGGGAGAGGAGTCCCTATTGTTTTGTGCAGCTTGACGACCGGGTCCATCGGGACAGAGCTTGGCTTACAAGCTAATAAACTAGCATCAGAAAAAAGATTCAGAGCATAATTCCTTTGGAAAACGGAGATTCATGCATCGGCCAACGCAATTTCAAGATCCAGAAAGAAGCGAAGATCTCCCAAATCTTTATCTTAAAAGCTTCACTGAGAATCATCATAAGGGTTTGCACATCAGCATGAACTGCGTGCCAGAATGCATGTTGAAGAGTCTTATCAGTGGGGGATTGAAAGAATCTAGCTTTGAGAAGAACAGGAGAGAGACAATGATACTACTGTCGTGAGGCCTGCTTCAAGCCATACAAAAACTTATGCAATCGACACACATGATTAGAAGGAAGAGTACCTGAAGTCGGAGTGTAACCCTGAGGTAAGCTCACGAAGATCTTTTCATCCAGATCACTGTGAATGAAAGGATTAGAAACGCCCATCTGCGAGACGTTTAAACCAAGAATCACAGCGTGAGCAGGCAACAATTTAACACTCGCAAGTTTGGCAACCGGGGAAAAAGTATTCGTAAAATTGACACCTTCTTGTTATGTGAAAACATTGGCGACCAACTGAGCTTTATATCTCTCAATAGAACCATCAGCTTTGTATTTAATGGTGTAAACCCATTCGCAACCAACAACATTCTTACCCAATGGAAGAGACTCAATAATCCATGTCCGATTAACTTCCATAGCATGTAGTTCCTCATGCATGGCTTTGGTAAAGTCTTTGGATAAAAGGACTTGTTTAAAGGTGGCTGGTTCAGTTTAAAAAGAGTAAGATTTTGGTAAACTGTTGTGAGATTGGAGTAGGAAACGCAAGAAGAAATATGATAAAGAGGAGGTGGTGGTGTAGGAGTGAGAGAAGAAAGCTAGGTAAGAAAATAATGATACTGAGATCAGTAACTAGGAGCCTGGACATTACACTTTGGCCTGGTATTGAGTAGTCGAGCCTGCCATGTAACCGGTGGTACAATATTTTGGGACAAAGAGGGAATCCTAGATCATGATGCAGATACAAATGTATAGGCAGATGATGTTTGCGGAGGAGATGATGTATGTGGAAGAGATCATGTAGGCGGGGGTGAGAGTGATGAATGTGCAAGAGGTGAAGGAGGCGAATATGCATGAGTGGAATGTGGAGGTGAATGATGAATGTCAGGAGCAATGTCAAGACTAACATGAGTAGGCAATGGCAAGATAGTTCTAGAGAACAAATCAGCAAGAGGAGTGTAATGCAATGTTTGAAAGGGAAAGATATTTTCAAGAAAAACAACATTACGAGTGACAAAAATAATATTATTATCCAATTTCAGAAACTTTACAAGCCTTTAAAATCAGATGGATATCCTAAGAAAATACAAACAATCAAAAGAAGAAAAATCAAAATAGTGAAGATGAAATTGATAATCGCAGTTTCGAAAAAAATCAGAAAAAGATAAAATTCGAAAGTAAACGAGAATTTCGCACTGGAATCAACATGTAAATAAAGATTGAGAAGCTCAAATCGCCATAAATAAGAAAAATCGATAAAGATGAAAACTGATCACAATTTTCTCATTGTTACCATATTAAACTAATTGTTTATTTTTCATTCATTCTTATATGTTTGTACATGATTAACAAGAAAAAAACGAAACCAAAGATTAAATTTAAATCGATATACATGCTAATATTATCCGTTAGAACTAAAGTTGTTATATATGATATCAAAGCATAAACATAAATAAGTTGAGATCTATATATTCCATTTAGATAGTTTGGAAGCAATTTTTCCGTAATTTTGTATATTTTTTTATCTCCACTTATGATATTTCTGCTGCTTTATCAGCAATTTCTTGCAAAATACTTTCTCTGTTTCAAAATAAGTGTTATTTTGACACTTTATTTATGTTTCATAAAAAATGTCATTTTATGTTTTTAATGTAGTTTTTAACATTTATTTTCAGTTTTATCTCTACAATTTTAATTTATTAATTAGAGAGAAAAACTGTTTTAATGTATTAACGAATGACATAATAGACATTTACAAAGTCTTTTTTAATTTTTAATTAGTGTGAAAAATGTAAACTGAGGAAGTAAGTATTATGTATGATTATGTATTACTCCATTATTGATTGGAATCTTCCCCAACGTGTTTTCGGTAATTAAAAACAAACAAAAAGAAGAATCTTTAATGTTGCTTGATTAGGTTTTCTTTCATGCAGAGACTCTTTGTATTGATTCCAAAAGCCATTACTTGATTTCTCATTTTGTACTGCCTAATTTTTCATCTATCCTTTTATACAGTCAATTAAAATGATTAAATTCTTAATTGTTAACTTTTTAAAGAGAGTATTAACCTCTGTACTTTAGCTACCATTAATTTTTCTGCCAACATAGTTTTTTCAACGCTTTAACACATAAAATCAGAATTGTAATTATATAAAATCAATAGTCGTAGAAGTCATCTTAAATATCCTTCTCGAGTAAAAATTTTATGCAACAAAAACAAAACAAAAAATGTGATCAAATTTTGTTTTTTTGCCCCAAAAAAAATAAAGAGATCAAGGTACAGATTAGACGAGTATACACCACGCGCCTGTACAGAGAGTGGGAATTGGAATTGGATTTTAACGAAGATTTGCCTCCGTCCACATGCGATGCTCCCTCATAAATATCCACCGTCACCACTCCCTCCTTTACCATCTCTCTCTCTCTCTCTCTCTCTCTCTCTCTCTCTCTCTCTCCCCTTCGTACTCTTTACAGCCATTTGTGCATTGTTATCTGTTAGAGAGAGAGAAATCGCGCGCTTATCGAAGGATTCTCTCTCGGAGAGAAAAGCGTTCTGAGCCGATTTTCGTTTTCTCGTGGGGAGAAAAAATGGCGAACGGAGCTGGTAGAGTGGATCTGGACGGCAGACCGATAAAGCCGATCACGATATGTATGATCGGTGCCGGAGGTTTCATCGGCTCGCATCTCTGTGAAAAGCTGATGACGGAGACGCCGCACTCGGTGATTGCGCTCGACGTTTACAACGATAAGATCAAGCACTTGCTCGAGCCTGATACCGTTGAGTGGGCAGGTCGGATCCAGTTTCATCGCATCAACATCAAGCATGATTCGAGGCTCGAAGGACTTATCAAGATGGCGGATCTGGTATGTGATTACTCGTTCCTTTAGCAATTTCGCAGTTATCTGTTGTTCATTTCGAAATTGAAAATGACAGTTAGTGCATTCGTTGGTTGATGATTGCAGAGTCAGATCCGATCCGTTATCGGAATTTTAATTTTCCGATTTCGCGATTTACACTTCGATGTTTCTCTTTGACTATCTCCTTTTACTACTTTCTCGATGTGATTTTTGTTTTCATATTGCTGAGATCGGTAATGTCTGATGTAATTCTGATCTGCAGACTATAAATCTTGCTGCGATCTGTACTCCAGCCGATTACAATACGCGTCCTCTTGATACTATCTACAGCAATTTCATTGACGCACTCCCAGTTGTATGTATTTCCTTTGATCCTTCTTACTTCGTCTATTACTGTGGTTTGATTTGTGGAAAATAGTAGTTATGAGCTCACTATTTGTTGAAATTGATTGGTCATGTGTTGGCTATGTTAGGTTAAATACTGCTCTGAGAACAACAAGCGTCTCATTCACTTTTCGACCTGTGAAGTGTATGGAAAAACTATTGGAAGCTATCTTCCCAAGGATCATCCTCTACGTGAGGTCAGACTTCTTTTGCACTTTCGCTTTCAGCGTTTTTATTTGGCTTTTCTACTCATCTTCTTTAGATCAATCTCACCTCTGAAGGTACTGAGGAACTTGTTGAAGCTGCCATTTTCTTTCTTTTTTCAATCACATGAGTTAAACTATGAATTACTCAGTATATTTTGCTAAGCTTCTTTTTGAATTTTGTTAAGAGTTTAGCTAACTAGTCTATATCATCCACACAAAGAAAGCCCATGATTTTGATTATTATTATTCATTTTAGGAATGTCTGATGCCTGAATTATGATGAAAACATGGTTTCTTGACATTCAACTGCCTAAGGCCATCTTCGTTATTTACAAATGTTGTTTTGTTGGGCATTCTACAGGATCCTTCTTTCTATGTTCTTAAAGAAGATATTTCCCCTTGCATATTTGGTTCAATTGAGAAGCAAAGGTGGTCATATGCTTGTGCTAAGCAACTTATTGAGAGACTCGTTTATGGTAAGCATTTTTGTCTAAGATGACATGTGAATGTAAGTACATAACGTGGTAAAATGACTTCACCTCACTTGTTTCTTGTGACAGCTGAGGGTGCTGAGAATGGACTTGAGTTCACAATCGTAAGACCTTTTAACTGGATTGGACCTAGGATGGATTTCATCCCCGGCATTGATGGTCCTAGCGAAGGTGTCCCTCGTGTTCTCGCCTGCTTTAGCAATGTAAGTAAATACAAATCCAAATCTATAAATCCAAATGTTATTCTCTCTATATGCAAAGCTTTTGGTTTAAATTCATCGATATCTTTCAGAATCTTCTACGCCGTGAGCCTCTCAAGCTCGTGGATGGTGGAGAATCGCAGAGAACATTCATCTACATCAAGGATGCTATCGAAGCTGTCCTTTTGATGATTGTGAGTTCTATTACTTATAATAATCAGCCTCTCTGATTTACATTTACAGATATGTTAACCAAAGAAGTCTCAACTTTCAGGAAAACCCAGAGAGAGCAAATGGCCATATCTTCAACGTAGGCAACCCGAACAACGAAGTTACAGTACGACAGCTTGCTGAAATGATGACAGAGGTGAGAAAAATTGTTTTTCAAAATTTCTCTCTTTTTTTTTTTCTGGTTAATTCAAATTCCTAAAACGAAACATTGTTTCAGGTATACGCAAAAGTGAGTGGAGAAGGAGCTATTGAGAGCCCAACGGTTGATGTTAGCTCAAAAGAGTTTTACGGGGAAGGTTATGATGATAGTGACAAGAGAATCCCAGACATGACCATCATTAACCGCCAACTCGGTAATTCATTACCATATTTCAAACATTTATTATGATGCTTAAACATTATAGAATCAATGGCTAATCTTGATAGATTTTGGAACTTTGAATAATAATAGGATGGAACCCGAAGACATCTCTCTGGGACTTGCTTGAATCGACCTTAACCTATCAGCACAGGACTTACGCAGAAGCTGTGAAGAAAGCAACATCTAAACCAGTGGCTTCATAAAGCTTCCGAAGTACCCCAGTTTGTCAACAAAAACACTGGTTAAAGTCACATTATTTGGCATTTTAACTTTACTCGATTCTTTTCGTTTTTTTTTTCTTTTTGTTACATCGCAGAGTAAAACTTTTGTGTTTTTGTTTTATCATTTAAATTTCGATTCTTGCTTTTCTACGAAAACAGTATAAGCACGGTGATTCGTTCAAAGTAATCGTCTATATTTTGTTATAAGTTTTTCTCTCCTTGATTCGTTTCTTTAGCCATCTGTATGCTGGGGCGGATGCACATACACAGTTTGGTGGCACCTGCCCGTACTGAATTTTTTTTTGGTAGTAGTTATATATATAGACTGAAGTTTTATTTATCCATTAGTGTATTCAAACGATCAAAATTCAAATTCCATTCAAAAATTCAAATTAGAAACAGTATAAAATTATGTTACTTACTTATCCACAATTTTATACTAAGTTTTTGTTTTTTCTGCTTGTGTTTTCATATTACTTAGTTCAGTACTGGCTGTTGTGATATAGCACCTAAAGCCCATAAAAAATGATGTTTTTTGGATATGCGAACTCAATACATCATGAACCATAAACATTAACTAAACGTATTGCTCTTAAAGGTTTTTATGAAATTTGATGCTCTGAAATTGTTAATATAATTTGGCGTCTAAAGCTTTTGCTTTACGGACTTTAGATCAGAGCTGGTCTTGACGTAGCCAATAGTAAAATCATTGGATAAGTTTGTATAAGTTTTTTTTTAAAAATCTTTTTGTCACATTATATTTTAATCTATTTTTTTCATTTCATTTGATATATATATATATATTTGTTATTAGTACTATATTTTTGATAAATTATTTTATTAATTAAAATAAATAAAAATATATGCCCCATATTAAATAAGTTTCTGTGTCCGCCTACTCGACAACAAAGGAGCAAGACTCCTACACTTGGTTCAAGAGATGAAGTAACATCATGCAGCATCTGTCGGAAAGTAAAAAAAAGTTTAATCGTTTATACCGAATGATAGTTACATCATCATAAAATATATAAAAGTTGAAGGCATAGTGTATTGAAGGCGTCTACATATGATTAAAAAAACTCGATATGATTAGTCCACATCAACATATTTATTAAATAAAAAAATATTAAGTATGATTAGGACAGAAAAATTTGATTTAATTGGTCCACATCAGTTTTTAAATCAAACCAAAAATTATTAATTATTAAGTATAATTAAAACACTAAAAGTTAATTTAACAAATAATATCCAACAAAAAAAGTAAATTCAATCTAATTGATCTAAATCAATATTTTTATTAAATCAGAAAATGTTAATATGGTTTAAAATTTTAAAAGTTAAATAAAAAATTGACAGTTAACAATACATGTATAAAAAAGTAACCATTATCAATTATCAATTTAAAAAAAATCTACAACAACTCAATTTAACAATTAAAACAATGAAAACTGAATAAAAATATAACATAAAACTCTTGGAAGATATGATGGAGAATGAAAAAATAGTTTTGCATGATCATTACAGCTTCCTAACAAATTTAAATGTGAATCAACATAAATAATGGATTATATATACAGTGGTACACAATACCAAAAAGACTTTAAATAAAAAAAACTAAATATTAGAACACATAAACCTTCAAGAAAAAAAGAACTATATAAATTCTATGGAAAACATAAAATAATACCAAAATCTTAGCAAGATTATATTTCTCTAAATCAAATGTATATGTACGTCAAAGTTGGATAATTCGATAGGTATCATTGTTATTATTTTACCTAATAGTTTTTTAAAATTTATAAATAATAATAGGATAAATTACACATCATATATTAAATTCTCTTGTATAAATAAAAATTTCTATAAATATATATATAATTTTTTAATAATTTTAAACATAGTAGCTAAAAAAATAAACCAAAATTCAGAATGCTTCCTTTACAAATCACACATTCTCAAAGAAAATATGTACTTCTATTATATTTTTGGGTTTTTGCTCAAATGACGAGAAAAATGTTAAGTTCGCAAGTTTTGATGCTAAAAGAAAGTTTAATTATGAATCGATAAGGTAGCCGACAATGTGAAACCGGCTAATTCGATATAAACCAATATAAATATTGATTGGAAGATTGATCTCAAAAGCGTCTGTAGTCCAACGGTTAGGATAATTGCCTTCCAAGCAATAGACCCGGGTTCGACTCCCGGCAGACGCATCTTTTATTTTTGTTATTTTATTTTTTTTACTTGAGTGTAAAAGTTAGAAATCCTTTGTAGACTGCGAACAAAGATGCAAAGCAACACAAAGAAAAATATGCCAAACACCAACCATCATCATGAAGTAAACTCTTTTTTTATGTCTAGCAGATGTAAGAATTACGAAGTATATCAATTGTTTAACGAATTAAAACAGATTATTTAGGACCAATCATCTTTCCGCTTACGGTCTGCTTAAACAGGTTCTTGCAGGACCAAAACAATGTGTTTCCTGTGGGTTTTATTTTGCTCTGGAATCATCAGTCACCACTCTCTGAATCCATTATCCACCTTTTGTAAGTTTGATGATGAAACTTGATACCTTTTATAGAGTTTTCAATCTCTTTATACCTCTCTTTTGAAATACGAGTTCATAAAACCAACAAGCTGAGATGGTACCATAATTCTGCAGAGAGATCTACAGGAAAAAATGACCTTACTACAAGACTTAACGCTATCGAACACATGTTACCGATTCCTAGGATCAAGCTCATGTTGCTGCAAGAAGAGGTGATTATATGCTCTTTGAATCTGCTTGTCTCTGCGTTTGCGAGCTACCTGAATCACATACAAGCAACCAAATACCAAACTTAATAGTAAACAACTTAACAATGTTCTTTTTGATTCATCTGCAGATTCTTCTTGTCAAGACTCTTGATGACACCGATTGCAACAGTCTGCCTCATCACCTTCTTTCAAGAACTTGGGCTCACATTTGAGTTTTATGAACTCTTTCAACAAGATATATCAGGTAAAGGACTCATGTATATGCACAAAGAGAAGCCAATAAAAACTAGAAACTTCCACCCAAGCTCTCAAATTTAACAAAATTAAGAAACCCCATGTTTTGCAATATAAACTACTTAAGATCCTCCTCTGTGCTGATAGATCCCTGAGATTCAATCATCACCACCTCAAATTTCTTCTTCTGGATTTACATAACTCTGTGATGAATGGCAAATAGCGCACACAGGTTTCCTTTGAAGAGAAGGTATGTATTGTTTGGTTCAAACTCTGAATGCGTAAGAAAAGTATATTTCTAAAGTCTCACATCGGTAAGCTAAAGAGGATTGGTCATAAGCTTGGCACTATAAAAAGGAAGCCGAGCCTCAATTACAAATCATACATTTCTCGGCCTTTTGGCTAAGATCAAGTGTAGTATCTGTTCTTATCAGTTTAATATATGATATGTGGGTCATCGGTCCACACGATATTAACTCTATTTTTTAAGGGTGAAAGCTCACCAAGATAGCTTGCTATCTGGCTTTTCGCGAGTCGCCCATGCGTTGCACTATTGTGTGGGCCTGGCTCAACCCACTAACATAAAGTTCAACTTACTCTCACTTAATCTATCTATAATAACAAACTGAAAAAATGTCAATTGCACTTTGAAAAATTATGTCTTTTCGGAACTTATGATTGTATCTTTTCATTATATATAGTTGCATCTTTTTACAATAAATAGTTGCGTTTTTTCATCAACTATAATTTGTGTCTTTTCAAAATATAATAAAAAACTGAAAAAATGTCAATTGCACTTTGAAAAGTTATGTCTTCTCGGAATTTATGATTGTGTCTTTTCATTATAAATAGTTGCATCTTTTCACAATAAATGGTTACGTTTTTTCAACAACTATAATTTGTGTCTTTTTAAAACTATTCATATTGCTCAAAACCACAGAAAAATCATTTGGATATAACTTTTACTTTCTTACTATAGTGAGTTTTTTTGTCGTAAATTTATTTATTTAGCATAACATATTATCAGGATACAAAATTTTTAAAAGTCTTGAAAGGTCAGATATTAAATTTGAGTAAAAAATTCTATTTAGGAGTTTAATTTTGGCTAAATATAAGTAGTTTAATTACAAAATTGTTTTACATGCATTACATCAAAAAAATAATATTTATTCAACTCAAATCTAATGATATTTTTATTATAAAGAAACTATATGTGTTTTGTTACTAGTTTCAGTAATGACAATCCAACTTTTTTAGATTGCAGACAGTTTACTATAGTTACAGTTTTCTTTTTTACTTTGGTGTCATGTTTCTTCTCTCTTTACAGGATATTGAGTATATCTATCTGAAACTCCAAAATTTTCAATGAAACAACTCTTGTTGCTACATCCTACTTGTTGTAGGTTATATCAGGAAAATTATATGCTGGAACTGAAATAGATGTATGGAGTTGCGGAGTGATAGTGTATGCTCTGTTTATCTTGCTTTTCCTAAGATCCGTCAACATCGTTGGTTCCACACTCATCTTCCTCGTTATCTTGTTGTTCCTGAAAAATCAAAAAGAGTCACATGCGGTAAGAGTAACGACTTCTCTTATACTTTTTACAGATCAATGAGGAGATAATTCAAGAAGTCCTAAACATGGGATTTGACAGAAACCAGGTTATGGAATCTCTTCGCAACGGAGTACTAAACGATGTGTGTAGTGAAAAGGCCACTTGCTTCTTCGTGATTCCGTGTTCCAAGTGGCTATCTTGAGTCCGAGTTTCAGGAGACAACAGTATGTGTTTTGTTTTCTTTTCTCCTAGCAGATAGCTTTCCAACATCTAAGCATATTTTTTGACATGATCTCAAAAAGTATTGGAGCTTAAGGGGTTTGTGTCAAAGGCGTTTGTAGTCCAACGGTTAGGATAATTGCCTTCCAAGCAATAGACCCGTGTTCGACTCCCGGCAGACGCATTTGTGATTTTTATTATTTTTGTTTGTGCTGCTTTGCTTCTTTGTTTGTTCGCATTCTACAAAAAAATTTCAACTTTTTCATTCAGATAAGTAATCTAGTGAAGGAGAGATGCTCTAATGACGTTGGATTGCACCTAATAATAATGCTAATATTTATCACACTCGCATGGTTCTTTGTTTTTCAACTACGTTAAATAGAACAGAAAAGTATATCAACTGATTATCGCCAATTTGGTAGATTTTTTTTTTCTTTGTCATCAAGCTCCATAAATTAAATCAAAGTAAATCGGTTTGGCGATGATCTCTATGAGTCAGCCAAACCAGTTCATTGTGACTTACATGGGAATAAGTAAAACCTCGTGCTCGTGACATTTTGAACATGCGGAATCAGACATAGATTAGAAGACTCGAAACCTATCTGCATAAACTCCAAAAAATCTAGCTCTGAGGTAAAGGCTGGCCAATCAGTTGGTTCTTTAACTATCTTGATCAGATCCGAATAGTCCGTCTTGATCTTAATCGAAGTGTAACCTCGCTCTTTTAGGCAAGACAAAGCCCAGAGAAGTCCTTCGAACTCTGCATGAAGGGGTGATAGACACCTCTGACAGTCCCTCATGCCAAACATATGGTGTCCCAACTCGTCTTCGAGACACCACCCCAGCCCACTAGTTAGACCCTGATCAATCCCGGATGCATCAATTTGGCAGGTCGGAACTTGGGGACATAAGAGGTTGGTGCTCGGGATGCCTGGCGACAAGAGGTTCTCCTCCTCTTCGTTTTCCGCCTCAAGTCGAGCAAGTTGAAAAATCTCTGACGAAAACACTGTTTTGTTATTAAAAGGTTTTTCATTATATGCTTTCTAGATATACCACACGATCTAAGAATAAATATCCTTTTGAGGTCCAGAGGTTGCCATTTCCTTTACTCTCCAATAGAAAGTCAATATTTTGATATAGAAATATACTCAGAAGTAACCCAGACTAGGTGAAAAAGCGGTAAAGGTCCACATTTGAAAGGCAAAAGGGCAAATAAATAGGAGATGGCTAATTTGGTAGATTAGAAGTAATAAAAAACATATTTCATTTAAACTTTAACATCCCAACACGATAACATAACAAGTATTTGAATGATTTAGCAAACCCAAAATTTTCAAAACCCAAAACCCCTCACGAAGCCACCACCATCTACTTAAACCATTCACCAATAGAGAAACCAATCAAAATTTTTTAGATAAGAAAAAAACAACTCAAAATTTTCTACGAGAAATGTGCATCTTCGGCTCATTCTCTACTTTCTTTTTAGCAGCATCCCTTTCCTGCAACAAATTCGTTTAAAAAGAAGAAAAAAACCATTAAATCCAATTTTCATATTCAAAAAAGTTATGAACTTTTACTTCTTTCTCTATCTTGACATAAGTTTTAGTTACCTGAATGCTTATGGTGAGTTGCAACTTTAGCTTTCTTTGATGCATTTGTGTTCTTCACTGCTCCACCATTTGGCCTCTTCTTGCTCGGAGGCTCCACCTATTATTTTGATTCATTAGAATATTAGTTTAATTTCAAAACCAACTCATCCGTTAGACTATCAAGTGCAAAGAACCCAAATCTTAAGGCAAAAATACCTCTACAGGTGCTTCTTCCTCTTCTTCTTCTTCATCAGAAGAGTCATCCTCATCTTCATCCGAACCCATCTAAACACGTTTTAAACTTTAGAAATCAGTACCAAGATTATAGCTTTTTCAACTGATTTATTGAATCATATCATTGCTACTCACAAGTCATTAAAGAAAAGCTTTGCACTACTTATTATCAACAACAATGGCGAAAAAATCTTACCTCATCGGAGTCAGATTCATCTTCGTCGTCAGAGTCATCTTCACCAGCTTCAAGGTTTGCCTTTTCATCATTTACCCCATTAGCGTTTGCTTTCTCCAATTCTAAATCACACAACGACAAGTTAGTTAGGATTCATAACAAAAGCCAAAAGTACGTTTTAAGACACCAAGGCATCGGCTTAGTAGTAAGAGTAAAAACGTACGATTTTGAAACATATCCATGGGGATATCCTCATCATCAGAATCAAAATCCTCCACCTCGTCATCATTATAACTCTTGTAACCAAGAACAAAGACACTGCTGTTTTTGCACTCGTGAGAAAACTCAAAATCTTGCTCGAAGATGAGATCCATAGAGAGCTGAGGAATCTTCTGCGAGAGGTTTCCGACAAGAAGCTTTTCCTTACTGCCACCGACCTTCACATAGAGATGAATAGCCTCATCTTTCACCTTCTTCGACTCACCAAGTGTAACCTGAGTGACACGGATCACATATCCATCTTCTTGTTTGAACTTGAAGGGACTTCCTGCCTTAATCTCAATACCTATAATTCAACATAAGCCCCAGATTTATTCAAACTAGAGCTCCAAAAAGAGAGAAAGATGAGTGTTCTCAAGAGTTTATCAAGCAAAACCAAAACCCAATTTCAACACAAAACAACGATTATTGAGTAACAGAGAGACATGTTTATTCAAACAAAAGCTTCAAGTAAACCTAAAAACCCAATTTTAACAAAAGACAACGCTTATTGCGTAATAGAGAGGATTCGATACAGAAATAGGCAGTATAAAGACAGGTTTATTCAAACAAAAGCTCGAATTTTTCAAGTTAACCCAAAACCCAATTTTAACACAAGACAATGATTATTGAGTAACAGAGAGGATTCAATAACGAAACTCGGAAGAATTCAAAAGATAATGACGGAAACAATCAGTATTTGAGGAAATTAAGGTTATAATGGGATTAATTTCAGAGATGCATACCCCAAAACTCCATAGCTAGCGAAGGAGGAAGAAAATGTGTGTGTGTGTGGCTGCTTTAAGAATTAGGGTTTTAGAGTTGTTTGAAAAATAAAAGAACGAAGCGGCTTTTATTTATAAGGATGCTCTCGTCAATATATTTTTCATTTTCGCCGGTAGGGTTTTTGAGTTTTTTGACCGAATTTTTCCCGAAAGAGAAAGCAATTTTTCATTACTTCTTTTAGTTCGCAAAGTTACTGGGCCGTTTATTTAGTATTGGGCCTATTCAGGATTGGCCTTCTTTGATGGGTTGCTACATGTATATTTTTAGCTGATAACAAAACTTAGTTTAACAGCATAAATTAATGTGTAAATATATCTACAGTTTTTTTTTTTTTTTGCCGACCATTTCATTATATTGAAGCCCAACAAGTGGGAGTGGGCAAAAGTTACAGAAAGTGAGTATGAGGCCCATATCAGCCTAATTACACAGATAAGATTGTACAACTGGAACACGTGTAAGTTAAAAATTGAAACTTCAGAAACGTGGTAAAGCGGATGAAACATCATCGCCGCTGAAGATATGTTACACAGCCACCGCCGCCGGCAATATCTTCCGTGTACCATCGTTTGAAGTTGCTAGGCCTCGTCTTTCTGCTGGTTCCGGCTGACTAGCCAGTCTTTTCGCAAAGAACTCCCAAGATGGAGAGCTTGAAATTCCTCAAAATCTTTGAATTTTTAAAACAGCGAAAATCCCGATAAAAAAACTCAAGATTTTCATACAACTCAATCTTTCCAAAACAAGAGATTTCACTCAAAGTCGATTGAAACGGTTTTAGAAAAAGGTGAAAAAATAAAACTTGCCGAAAAAGAAGTAAGGATAGCAAAGAACGAGGAAAATAAGATCCAAAACTATCAGAATTTAGAATCCTGCGAAAAGGAAAACCTAACAAAAAACAAAGAAAAACCAAATAAGATCGGAAAGAGAACCGAACAAGTCGGAATTATTAACCGAGTAAAGTCGGTAACAGAATTTATATAAGAGCATTTCCAATCTACCTCTATTTTATAGGAAAAAATAGAGTTTAGAGAAAAAATTTCTCTAATCCACCTCTATTATTTTTCCCTCTATATTTGGAGGAATTCTATTTATTCCTCTATAATAGAAATACACTTTTTTATTTATAAACTGGTTCCTTAACTTTTACATTTTTTTTATTTTTATTTATATAACATATAAAAAGTTAAATTAAATATTTACATAATCTAGTTTGTATATATCCAATAAATAATCATATATCTAATATATAAATTTAATTTAATTATAAAATATTAAATAACTTTAATAAAGTTTAATAAAATCAATATTATTTCAGACAATAACTATTATAGAAAAACAGAAAACATTATTTACTTTAATTAACTATATAATTAATAAATAAAAGTGGTTAATCTATGATAAAAAAAAATAAACATGAATAGTAATATAGTATACACATGTATAATAATACGTCAATAAAGTTACATTATACAGTTTTGTATGTTATTAAATACAAAAACCTAATAAATAAATAAATTTAATAATTTTGTTATGGTTTGAGAAAATTTTGTGAACATATAATATAACTAAATTGAAAAATTCTCATTTATTTCAAACTAAATTATAAATAAAATGATAAATTGCAATAATTTTTTAAAAATACAGAAATTATAGAAAATGATAAATATTATAGTGATTTAATAAATATTTTGAAAATTATGGAAAATTACAAATACTATAGTCATTTTAAATTTTGTTTATGAAATAAATGTTTAGTTTTAATATATTTTTATTATTGATGGAAATTTTTGTAAACAATAATATAAATAGGATTAATTTGTAAATTTTATGGAAAGAAAGTATTAATAATAAATTATAAAGAAAATATTCTTAAAATATTCCTTTTTAGAGGAAAAAATAGAGGAATACATTAGAGAGAAGTATACCTCTATTTTAGAGGAAAAAATAGAGGAACACCTTGAAGATGGTCTAACAGAAGAAGAAGAAAAGAGGGAAAAGAAGAGGAAATGAATTCTCTCTCTGAATGATAGAGGTGAGAGAAGAGAGAGAAGTCCTGTTTTATATTTACAGTTAATGAATGAAACTTAAGAAATGTTTAGTTACTTTTTTTTATCATGATAATTTTATATTTAAATCCAGAAACCCGAGATTTTCTTGCTTCTAAACAACATCTACCGTAGAACTAGTAAGGTTTCCACAAGTTCTGATAGATTTGTGTATACGTCTTATTTGTTTTTTTCTCTTTTAAAAATTTTCCACCTAAGAATTAGCCATCACCCTTACATTTCAACTCTTGCCAGAACATGCAAAAAACAAGGTAATCCCGATACATATACTAGAAATCGATTGATCAAATGATTATGGGATCTTGGAACTACACATTTGCCAAGAGGTTATGACATGCTCATGTTTATGAGTAACATCAATACTGCTCTTCATCATGTTGATCTAAGTTATCAAGTGAAAGAGGTGATTGCTGTTGGTAACAAGAAAGATTAATTTACTTTTTTCGGATCAGTGAAATCTTTTATATTCAAAAGATGGCTATCATAAGTAATTTATAAATATATATTGATTTATATCTTATGAAATATTATAAAACATATTTTTATAATATAATTAGAATTAATCTAATTTTTTGAGATTGTAATACACTTTTATCACTATTTCGAGTTCGTTATTACTAACTATATTCTCAAAATCGAGGTTATGAACATTTAAATCATTTTCTCAAAAAAAAACCTTACTTTTATAACAAAGTATTATTCAGTTTTAAGAACAAGCAAAAATTCAGCTTAAAAAAAACAAAAACAAAAAACAAGCAAAAATCCTCTAGACAAAATACCTTAAAGGAAACATGTTTTACATTTCAGAAATTTACATCAACATCATAGGTTTCAACCGATATAGTGACGCATTGCTACTCACAACTCAAACTCGCACTATTTGTAAATCTACCTCATCAGGTTTAGATTTATCATCTTCGAATGAACCACATTCATAAGCTTGGCATTTTGATCATTCAGCCCATTTAGCCCATTGGCGTCTGCTTTCAGTATCAAATTTAGGATTCGTAACAAAGCCACAAGTCATCAAGGCAATGGAATATATAGCTAACCTACCAACTTTGACTAGCATAGTTGCTTTTACTAATTTATACTTGTAAACATTATTTTCACAAAACAATTTGTTCGAATGTAGAAAAAAGATTTTAGACAAAGAGAGAGAATCAGAGCAACACGGCACTAAATTGGTTTGTCCGTTGTCATAAAATGTCTGACTTTGGTTTGGGGATAAGGTTGGCTTAAGTCGTTATTACATTAACGGAAAGCAAATCTAAACCAAATTTCCTTACAAACAAAATATAATATATAAAATAAAGAAAAACCCCATTGTAATTGGTTTAACTCAAGTTATAAAAATTTAGTTATTTGTAGTATTGAATCATCTTGGTATAAAATTTGATTAAAATACATCATCATATACCATGACTTTTATTTCATTATAGGAGAAATATATACAGATTATATGTAACTTTTGTCTGAGAAAAGAAAGCAAACCTCTGTAGCTCTATCCATTTCTTTTTCTTGGAACTATCTAAGACGGTAACATGAAGTTTTCTAAAATTCGAATATTTATTTCTAAAAACAAGAAAATAAATAAATAGATGTTTGAATTTAATTTGAAAATGGTAAAAAGAATTCTTCTAGAAGCCGATGAATTTGAGCCAGTGAAAACCAGTTTTAGCCGCCACTTTCTCTGCTTCCTTAGAACAAGATTCCGACGAACCACCGCCGAGGAATCCTCCGTTCTCTTTTTGACCACATAAGAAGAAGTTCCTCGATCCAAGCGAGATTAGCTTCTGATCTCTTCCAATACCTAAACACGAAAATTCGAATCTCAGAAAGTCATAATCAAAAATCTCAGCCGCAACGATTTTTTTTTATGAGGAAGAGATGAATTTATACTTTCGAGACTAAATTGCGAGTAATGGAGATCGAATCGCGACGGTTCAGATGCCGGTAACAAAGGACGGCGAGCTTCTTTCACATAGAGACGAATCGCGGCGTCGATTAAATCATTCACGGTGGATTCCGGCGAGATTATAATCTGTAGAGCGCCTAGACTCCCTTGAACCGTCACGTTGAGGAGCAGTTTCGTCAGACGCGGTGGAATAAGATTCACCGGTCCGGCGATGGTTTGACCTTTGGAGAATAACTCCGGCAACGTCTTCGGTCTTCGAAGCTCGCCTGGATTCGACAGAGGCATCGTTCCTCTGCCGTGAAACGACATCGCTTTCTCCGGTAATTTTCCCCGGCGATTCTTCTCCGTCTCTCCGGCGCTTCCTTTCCGGTTACCGTTCTTCGAGTTCATCGGCATGTTTATATAACAGAATCAGCGATTTTTTCAAGTGTGTGTGGTCAACGCAATCGGGCGAAGCCAGGAGCGGCGGAGGCTAGCGTATTGGCGCCGGTCACCGGAAGCTAACATAACCAGAGTGGCACTGTAAATTAGAGGAGGAAGACGAGGGCAAAAGGGTATGAGACTTTTTGGTTGTGAGAAAGTTTTGGGGTTGAAGATGAAAGTATTTATAGTGGATTTATAGATAACGTAACGGTGAGAAATGGCTTGGATGTTTCTGAGAGGAGTGACGGGAACTGGCTACAACAGGTGAGCCGCACCGCCAATTATATAAGACGGTTCGGTATTGTGTCCAGGTTCAACCGGTTGCTCTGAATTATCCGCCGGTCGTAGTGACCAAGTTCGACTAATTTTGCTTGGACTGACTATATTTGATATGCTCAATTATGTGTTTTAAACTTTGATTTAAGAAATTATCATTGTTTTTCGTCGATTTTAGTGTTTTCATTTTGATCAACACATTTTAGAGTCTGTGATTAATTTGTTGGGATTTGTTTATATTTGTGAAATCAAAGTAGTAGTAGTAATGAGGTAAATCAAAGTAATTAATTATACGATGTATTCATGCACATGGTTACTTTAATTCAGAGAAAAACAAAAGTGAATGTTACAAATACAAAATTATAGTATATATTTTTTTAATAAAATACAAATTTTATTTGATTCTTAATGGAATCAAAGCACGTTTTTTGTTTGTTTTACCAAACCAAAGCAATCAATTGTTTATTGATGTTTATGAAATCAAAGCATGTAAGAAACTAAGATATTATATTATAAATGTGTTTTTAATAATAGATTTCATTTCTGCAAGCAAATAGTTTTCTTTTATGAATTTACTTTATGCCATGTATATAGTAGATCATATTTTTTTTTAAAAAAAAAATTATGGTTAGCCAACATTAAAATGGGTCTGAATGTTTTGGTCAATATATTCAGTCTTTCTGAGTTAAAAAAATTTACGATAAAAAAAAACGGAATACATTTTCAAAACTTGTCAGTAATTAAAATAGTTCAGTATGCATGGTAAGCTGAGCTCGAATACTCTGATCATTGTGTGTGCTTGTGTTTCCATATCTCCTTCTTTGTGTTCAGTTACAAAATTTAGAGTAAAAAAAGTTGTTATCACATTTTGAAAGCTCGTCAAAATTTTGATTTGTATTCACTTGGACGTATTTTTGTAAAATTAAAAACATAAAAATAAAAACTGAAATCCTCATGCAGTAGTTTTTTCTTCCAAATCCCCCTAGTTAAAGCGGGTAAGGTAGGATATAAGATTTTGAAATGTTAAGAGGAACAAAGCTTAGATATACAAGACATGTCCCTCTTCACCAAGTTGAAGTTGTAATTAATTTAAAAACAAATCATTTGAGTATAAGATAACAAACAAAATACACGTGGCAGAACAGAAAGTTTAAGATGGGCCCAAACGGCCGACACAACTGAAAGATGATGTCTGAGACGTGACCAATCTCACCTTGTGAAATGGAGCCATCACCAAGTTGCTCTGCGATTAGCCGCTCAATAATTTGCACACTAGCGATATTCGTTTGGACAATTCAATTAAATGACTCTTAATCCAAAGAATGAAGAAGATTATGGACCAACTTATGTGAGGTTTAACGAAAATAACTAATTTTTAAACTAATGAAAATAGGAGTGGACCTAATGTTGGTGTGTTTCTGGTATGTACGAGCTCTTTCGGTTTTATGCTTCACGTGGCCTAATTAAATTATCTTATCAGCTTACTTATTTTTACTATTGAGATCTTATATATAATCTGTTAAAATAATTTACTTATTTTTATCTCAGCAGAAAATATATATAATTGATTTTTTTCTTTTGAAGATTAGATCAATCTTATGAAATGATATCTCGTTAACACATTATACAGAATTTAAAACGCATTAGCACGAATTTGATAGTCCTTTATGCAAATCGCAATGGTTCTTGGGAACAGAAATGTCAAAATATATGGGTTTCTCTGTAGATTTCAACGATTAATACGATTTTCGGCGCATGGTCTCTACATAAAAAATAATAATTGAAAACGCTTATTTTTATATTTTTGAGAATAGTTTTTGGCTGTTTGTTTGCGATGATATGCCTCCCCCAGATGATAGCAAATCAAATTTGATTTCCAAATTTCTTTTCTTTTTCTATTATCGGAGTTTACATTTAATATTTTGAGCGGTGATGCTTATAAAGAAATATAAATCGATAAATGATGAGACGCAACATAATTTCCCCTGATAACTTTGCAAAGACGGCAACCAAAATATTATTTTAGTATATTTTCGGTTTTCAATTAGGGATCTTGTAAAGGAATATTAAGAGGAATCTAAATATTTAGATTTCGGTTTTCCGAAATCTAAATTTTTAAAATCCTAGGTGAAATTGAAAACCTAAATGGAAAACTATAAAAAGAAACATGGAGAAAGATTGTAGGCATCGTCGATACATCTTTGATGAATTGAAGTATTGAACACTAGCTTGGGTTTTTTTTTTTACAATAACAATGTCGAGTGATATCTCGACGACATGGATTCTAAACGACTCGATTATTACATGCTTCAAGATTATTTCTCATTTCTCCATAAAGATTCGAGTAGTTGAGGAGCAGGACTCTTGTCCCAAGTCCTCACGGTCATGAAATTCTTGGCTCAACAAAAGAAACAGTTAAACTTTTGTTAAAAAAAAAAAAAAAACAAAAGAAACCATATATGGGAAACTAAAGATGCAGCAATAGTTTTCTAGATCCCACCTGCTTTCCTTGCTGTTGAAGAATTACGCAGGAGATGTGTGGCTAACGTGTTGTCCAAGGTAAAGGTGAACATCTTGATTCAGCATCGCATCGTTCCTAATTCTTAAGGTCGCTTAATACCAACATGCAACATGACAAGGCTGCATACTCTGTCATAGGGATTTGTAAGAAGAAGATCAATGAAGTTGCATTGTCCCCATAACTTTCATAGGGATTTTGTGTATTAATTCTCCCGTGCCTGCACCGCAAGCATTCATGCTCAACTTGTTGTGGCCATATCCAAAATCCCAACCCAAGAAAGAGGTCCCAAGATTATGTTTTTTTGGAAAAAAAAACTAAAGGAAATAATGTTCTTTTTTCTCTTAGATTTTGTCTTTCAAGCAAATTACTTGTACAAAAATAGAAAAGATCGTATGTATAAATATTGAAACTTCAAAAAAATTGTTAAAAAAAAACAAATTATTGAAACTTTTTTTTGTACTTTGATTTGTACCTAACCTATATTTGACTTGGGATAATATGTTAAAAATTAACTTGCTTAATTACGTTGTAGTACTTTATCCCCTCTTCTACACAATCACATCATCTATCGTAAGTCAGAGTTACTTGTCAGAAATTTGGTATCCTTTATCAGATTTCAGAATATTTGGTTCTTGATTGAGAATGTCAACCAAATTTGAATGAGTTATGGTTTGTAGTACCGTACAAGTGAAGTTTATTGGGGTCTTCTTCAACTTCTACAGTATCATTGGATTCTCTTCATCAATATTAGTGAGAATTGTTGAGAAGATTTTCAGTAACATTGATATGGGTGGGTCAATGGGTGTGATGCGATGACAAATGTAAGTTGGGTCTACTCGTAAGAAGATTATCTGTATGGGCTTCTAATATATATAGGCTTTTAACTTTTGATGGGCTTTGTATCGAAAGGTCATCTCTAGCTTGTGGAGAAATAAGTTGCCTATTATTTATTTCCTTTTCAAAAATAAATTTATATCTTTCTTCTCCAATTTACATTCCCAAACATGTAATTTTCGTGGAATTATCACTTTCGTTTGACTTCACTGCTGTTACAATGAAAACGTAGATGATGATGATGATGAAGTAGAAGAAGAAGACGACGGTGACCAAGAAGTCATATCCATCGGATAACTCCCCAAAACTCGTAAGAACGATGTAAACTCTTGAACCTCCGAGAGCGCGTTCTGCGCACGCGCCTCCGCCATCGAGGCCTCGAAGTCGACGTAAAACATGTACTCGAAATGCTTCGCCGTCCCAACGTTAGCCTCGTCGACGAGCCTAATCGGGACGTTATGGTTAGGCCTCGATTCGATCTTCGTCAAGCTAATGTTCCTAAACGCAAACGCCGAGAGCACTTTGAACAGAACGCACGTGCCTTTCTCGTGCGCGAACACTATGCTCGTCTTGAACGGCCGATCCGTCCTCGGTATGATCGGCTCACGCGCCAGCATCACGAAGCGCGTGACGTTACTCGCGTCGTCTTGGATCCCGTCCTCGAGAATCTCCAGCCCATAGATCTCCGCGGCGCGAGCGCTCGCTATCGCCGCGGTGTCGCGGATGTTGTTCGCCGCGATGAACTCGGCGGCTCCGGCTGTATCGTCGACGGCTTCACGCGCCACGTTAAGACCGAGTTTCGTGAGCGTGTGCTCGCACTGAGCGAGTCCTTGAGGATGAGAGATAACGCGCGTGAGGAACTCTTTCCGTACGCCGGGAAGGGCCATGAGACAGTGGTGAACAGGAAGCTGAACTTCTCCGACGATGTGAAGTCGGTGACGGAGGAGAAGATCGTAGTTCCGATGAATCGAGCCTCCTAGAGAGTTCTCAACCGGTAAAACCGCGCGATCCGCGATCCAAAGCTCAACCGCCTGAAACGCGACTTCGAATTGATCGCAAGGGATCGGTTGACAGTTTGGGTAAGCTTTACCGGCGGCGGCTTCGGAATAAGCTCCGGGAACGCCTTGATATGCGACTCGAAGACTAGATCCGTGAATCGGAGCCGGAGATAGATCGGTAATGGTGAGAGGCTTCTTCTTCGCTTGCTGATTCGGAACCAACGAATTGTTATCGAACGGTACCAGATTCAATCCCGAGCTTTCAGCGACACCGTTCACGGCGGAGAGTACAGATTCAGATTGCTCCTGAGAAACGACTTTGCCGGAGAGAATGGCGCAAGAGCTTTTCCAATCTGATCTACTGGAACCGTTGGCGTAGGAGTCAGATCTCTTACTGCAATGTATGAAGCGTCTCCGTGACGGCGTTGTTGCCGTCGTCGGAGTTTGGGAAGATCGGAGCATTGGGTTGAGATTGTGGGGAGAAGAAGGTAGAAGAGTTCTCATGATTTCGCTAGTTTTTCAGGTGAGAATGTGAGAGTGATGAATATTTTTAAGGAAGGAGAGTGAGAAGGAGGAAGACAAAGTTGAGTGTTATAGGAGAAGAGAAGAAGAGCGTGGAGTGATCTCCTGCCTCTCACGATCCTTCACCTACCACACCTTATACTCCTTCTTTCAGAATGTACGATGTTTTAGATATTTCACATATATTAAAAAAACAATGATTATTTATATTTTTAAAATACTTTTTATTTATTTATTAATTTAATGCTAATTTTTTATATTTTTTTACCCAAAAATTGTTTTGAAAATAAAAATATATTAAATATAATATAGAAAATTAATATTTATAGAATAAAATAAAAAACCCAAAACATCATACAATATAGAACGGAGAGAGTATATATACTTTGATAAAATTAGGTCGTATAACTATATTAATAAGCTAAATTTATTAACTAACCATAATAAAATAGGTACTATGATATTTTCTATATATTTTATAATATATATAAAAATATCCTTTCTTTTTCTTATCATTTTCTCCTCCTTTTTTTTCATGGCCTCACCTCTTTCCCTCTCTTCCCCTTTGCTCATCTCCTATTCTCTCCGGTCTTCTTCTCTCCATTCTTCGTTCATCTCCTCCCTTCTTCTCCTCTCATAATGTTTTGCAAATATTATATCAAATGAAACTATTCTATAAAATTGAGATATAGTATAATAGCTATTATAGTATAGTACATGGATATTTTCGACAATTGATACTAGGTCATGGTTAGTTTGTAAATTGTCCATACACTATAATTATATTCTTTATTTCAACTCTCAATATAGTTATATATGCAAAAAGTCCTAAAAAAATGATAATGGTGGGCCAAGAGGATAAAGCCCAAACGATGTATATACAAATTTAATTCATTAAGTACTTAAAAGATTTGAAAATGGTAAAAAAAAATTCTTCAAAAGTACTAAAACTACACTAACATTTTTCAAAACATTATTTCAAATGCTCAAATTGAATACCTCTAACTTTTTTGTGTGTGAAAATTCTCTAAGTTTTGTTATTCTAATAATTTTACAATCTATCTAATATTCTATCAATATATAATTTTGAAACATATAAAAACCTATAGAATACTAGATTTCTCTAAAATATAAAAATTGACAGAAAAATAATTTATTCACAGATAAAAAACTTTACAGAAAGAGACATATAAAAAACAAGACCATAAAACCATATAAGAACCCTATAAAACTAAAGCCTTGACTGTTTGCAGTTTTTAGAATAGTTTTTAGTTTTTTTTTTTGAAAAAAAAATATTTTAGTATTCAAGTTTTAAAGCAAATAGATTCCCTAAATTATAGGGAAACTAGTTTTAAAGATTGTGTGAATTTGTGAACAAAAACTAAAAACCACAATTTATGGGGTTTTTTAAACAAAGTTGCCATATATTGTTTTTTTTTAAATATTGTTTTATTATGAAAATCAATTAAATGCTAGAATATCTGTTATTTATGAAATATTTCTTTTACCATAGAATTAAGTTCATTTTATATCAATTTTTTTTAATGAAATACATTTATATGCATATGTACTCATATTTTTGTATTATTTATTATTTTTATAAGAAAAAGTATTTTTGTATTAATTAAATATATTTTATTTTATCAGTTTTTACCATAATTTTTTTTGAATAAATCTAGATTAGAAAAACATATACTTAAAAATAAAAAAACCAAAAACCAAAATCCAAAAACCATACAAATCTTCATCACCTAAGTTAATCGATAAAATAGTTTTTTTTCAAAAATTAATCGATAAAATAGTTAAAGCGCTATAGAAAATGTAAAAAACTTCTTATCGAACATATGACTTGTCATATTGAAACCCATTTTAGAACTTCATTATAAGGTTCTAAAAACGATAGAAAACAATAGATTATTGAAAATGTCCAACACTTAACTACTATCCGGAGAATCGAAACCCTATAAAAACAAATGTTGTAGATTAATCCGGTAAAGAAACAAGAAAGTCCAATACTCTCATGTCATTGTCCAACTCAAATTTTAAATGATTGTTCGTCCATTTATGCTATATATAAAAGTAGTAAGGGAAAGATTAGATCCATCTACTTTTGTTTTGTAGTATAAGTACCAAACCCTTTCCAATAATTGGATATTTTTAAGGGTCATTTTTAACCAACTCTTCAAAGTCCAAACCAATTACACTACTCTCACCTACCAAATTCGGCTCAAATTTATTAATTAGAATTCCTCTCAACTCAGTCTTCCTTTGGATGAAACGTTAAACGTGCCATAAACTATCCAAAAACAAAAGTGGTTGGCAAATTTACAAAGATAACAAAAAAAGAAACAAAAGAAAAGGAGAATCTTAACTATTATTTAAGAAGCATATTTTATGAAAAAATTTGATATGTTATCACCTTAACAAAAATTAGTACAAAACAATGTCACCTCATAAATGTGACATGACAAATTTCCTAAAATAAATGAAATGTTTTGATTGGTTAAGTTAAAACTAAATAAATGTCATTTTTTTAAAAATGTTTATATCATATATGAATGAATTCTCATTGTATAACAAAAATTCAAAATTATAAATAAAATAAAAAATAAACAGATAGGAAAATAAATTATAAATATCATGTTAGCTAATTTTTTTTATTATAATACTGTATATATGAATAAAAAGTAGATTTAAAAGTACAAATTAATCTTTATGACTTTCATTATATGTAAAAATCTCAGGCTATATTTTTTGGTTTAAAGCATCTTCAACCCACATTTATTTTAATTTATAAAAAGGTTGTTTTTTTTCCTCCAATTATAGAGGAAAAAATAACAATCTTTTTTTTCCTGTAAAAATAAAAAAATATGTTGGAGAGAATTTCACTTATATTTTAGAGGAAAAAAAATATAAAGATACATTGGAGATAATCTTAATGTTTAATATATTACTAAATGTTAAGAAAAAAAGTATGAGTTCAAGGAAAAATAAGAATAATTTTGATCGATTTTAAGTTTTTATTTGTAATATTTAAAAATATTATCTTACACATATTAATTCTTTAATGCATATATTTCTTTTAACATATTAAAACATTATTTCATGAATCAAGTTTTATATATGTTATGATCCATTATATTTTATATTAACAAATATATTAAAGTTAGAAACACATCAACTTTTAATTTTTAATAACAATAAAATATTAAATATATTATTTTACACTGTATATCATACACATATAAGTTTAGATCCGATTGGTTTAAACGATTCAGTTACATAGAGTTTGTGGAAGCGAGCGATTGCAGATTACAAAAAAATTGACGAGGAGATGAGCAGAGAGCTAGCAGAGAATTTTATAATATATGATTTCACAAATTTTATAATAATTTTTTATTGAGAAACCATATATCATCAAAAGCTGAAAAATAAGAAACTTTGATTAAATACAAAACGATAGAAATGGTTTCCGTGATTGTTGTTAAACGCCAATAACTGCATAATGTAAAAATATAATATTTACGGAAAATACCAGAAAAAACTTACTAACACCTAAATATTACAATTCACTTATTTCTAGCTCATACTTGCATGCATAAATATATTTATTATTTTTTTTTTAAAAAAAATCAACCATACATTATAAAAATATATATTACAAACATATACTTTGTTATTTTCTTGTAACACATAAAAGCCATACTTCGATTTTCTTACAAATATACGTGTAAATATAAATATTAATTGTGCAAAAGTCAAACTTGTCATGCATACATTTTGTTAACCTCAATTACACAGTAATTTTAAATTTAGTTGTTAGATAATTTATATTTTTTTTAAAAATCTTTATATGTCCTAAGAGCGGTGAGGTAGTTGGTACGCACGAATGTGCGGACCAACCATCTACCCGCTCTTAGGATAAATAAATATGGTAGAATTTATTTTGGTTTAATTAGCAATAAGTCAAGGAAAAATGCATATTTAATATATATATATATATATATATATATTGACAAGATTATATTATGCAAAAAGAAAAAAGTATTATATAGATAATATTCAAAAAATATTATAAGAATTTAATTATTGTTTAATATGACTTTTACATTTGCAATTATATATTAGTGTAAATGCTAGGAAAAATAAAAAGTTTTCAAAAGACACAAAACGATATGAAACATTTGTGTGATTGTTGTTAAACACTTGTATATGAATAAAAACATAATATTTATAAATAAGAAAATTAATCAATACTTAAATATTACAACTAATTATGTCTATCAAAAAATTATACTTGCATATGCGTACGGACCAAAAATAAAAATTAAATAAATTATTGTATTTTTGAATGTTATCCCGTTTATTTAGTTATCATATTTACATTTTTTATCCAAATAAATATTTTAAAATCTTAGTTAATATCTTTTTATCTTCACTTTCTATTGAAATATATAATACTTTATATTTAATTTATCATTATTTTTTTATCTTCACTTTTTCGCTTAATATATATTTAATCATATACAAATAAATCATTTTCAATACTATGTTAATCATAATTGAACATATAAAATATTTAATTATGTGCATGCCGATCACCTAGTCTACTCATATAATCTCTGTAGCAAAAGCTGGTTCTCTCGGTTAACCCGCTGCTCATAGTCTCACTATCAGGCAAAACATAAACTGTATGTATCTTTATTTATGTTCTTGAAATTTCTTATTTTGATCTTAAAATTATTAGGCGTATTAAAGAATTTTTAAATCTTAAAAGGATCATAACATGAAACGTTCCTTTGTTTTGTTTTCTTTAGCTCCCTTAAGAACTGGTTTTGATTTTTATTTGATTGTTCCTATAAGAGATAAGGTACGATCTCCATTCTGTTAAGTATATACTGTAGAATATTCATTGTAATCCCGAGTATATAGCTTCCTTAACTACTTCTCTTCAGTATATGTAATCAGTTCTAATCAATAAAATATAATATCGTCTCTCTCTCTAAAATATATAAATGTATTTATGTACATATGTACACAATCTACTCGAGTGTGACACAAATCATATATATAATGAGCAAGTTATCTCTCCATCTACGGCGTTCACATCAGCATATTTTTAATTTTAAAATGGGCTTTTAAATATTTTAGGTTTTGTTTTTAAGTTTTTATATTTAGGTATTTGTTTTTGGGCTTTCAATATGTTTAATTTGAAATTAAAAACAAATACTTATTTTACAAATCATAAAATTACAAATTTTTTATTTGCTGAAAATAGGTTTGGAAGGCAACCAAATACAAAAGATTATGGAAAATATTACAGAAAATAATTATCAAACTTTTTAAAAAAAATCTTAGAAAAAATTATATATAAAGCCAAAGTAAAATCATATATATATAAAACAAATACTTATTTTACAAACTATAAAAACTACAAATTCTCTTTGAAATAAAAAATTTAAAAATTTATTTCGAATATAAACAAACAGAATTTGAAAAAAGAGTTGAAAAGTGAACAATTACGAAAGATGACAGAAGAACTAGCTAAAAATAGTTATCAAACTTATTTAAAAATGCTCAAAATATTAATGCATAAAACTAGAGTAATATCATTCATATCCACTTTACTGTGTAAAATGAATGAATTTTTTCATAAATAAAGTGTTTAATTATATAGCATATAAATGAATTTGATTTATACGAAGGAGGAAAAATATGGTAAATAGTTATCAACCATTTATTCTCAATAATGGTAATATAAAATTGATATGCGATCACTTTACTCACCAGTCAGATAATATATAAGTTTTAAATCTAAAATATATAATTAAACTAAAATAAGATTACTGATTATACTTTTTAACATAGTCATGTTGTTTACATTCACATAATATAAAAATAGACAAAAATGTTCTCACATACATTTACAAATATAGTAAGATAGTTTATCATTAAAAAAGGAAAACACCTCAAATCAAGTAAAATTAATAATTTATCAAGTACGCATAATTTTTTGATATGAAAACCTATCAAACATATGTAATATTTAAACAGATCTTTTGCTCTGTCTAGCCAATTCTAACTAAAATTCTCCTTATTTTGAGTTATAACAGATCACAGAACTGAATGAGATGGAAGCTTGCATGAAATAAGAAAAAAAACCAGTAAATTGCAATTAAAATAGTGAGACTAAGAGCTATAAGAAAGGAAAAACAAATAAAAGAATAATTATGCTTGAAAATGAATTAGATTTTTTGAAAATTGATATAAATAAGTCCGTGCAACGCAGATAAAAATCTAGTGATTAAAACAGTAATTGAAAGGCAAATAGATATATCATGTTCACATGACATCACTTAGTGAAGAAAGAGAAGCCCATAAGTACAAGAGAAGAAGAACAAAGGCTGAGATTATGCACTAAGGCCCAAATAGGATGTGTTAACTTGGTATATAAGCTATTACAAGGTTTTGAAAACCTAAGACACAAGTGGGAACTAAAAAAAGAGAGTCCAGAAACAAAGCTATGCACGAGTCCTGAGTTCTCCACGTTGTTCTAATAGTTTGAAGTAATGATACTGAAAAAAAAGAAAATAAGGATGAAAAAATAATAACTCTAGTTACAAATGGACCGATCATAAATCTATATAACTTACAACAACATCAACTTTCATATTCTCTGTTTCAAAACCAAAAACTCTCCAATAAACAAACTTGCGACCCAAGGAAAACTCCACCGTGTTATAAAAATTTAAGAGACTAAAAAAATAACAGACTAGTAACAAAAACAAAAGAAAACAGAATCTCTCATCTGAACTATTTACCATTTTGCCACTGTCTTCTTCTTTTCAAATGCCAACCCATTTGACCCATCTGAAAAACCTCCCAACCCTAAAAGGCAGCTCATAATCTTTAGCAAGAGCTGGTTCTCTTGTTGCAGTCTCACTAGCAGACCAAACATAAACTCCACGTTCTTGCCTGCTCCCTGGAACCGTATTGTCCAAAATCACAGCCATGATAAACGCAATTACCATGTTCATCGATAAGAGCGTGTTCATTACATAGTTCAACTGCAGAAAAAAACTTCACAAAGTTCAGGACTTTTGATCCAGAAGACTGAATTTTGAGAGTGACAAAGCGTAAAGTAACGTACCCCTTTGTATTGGCTTTTAAATGGTCCATGAGAGGCAACAATGTAAGGCTGGTAATAGCTTGGAGCAGAGAGATTCGAGTTTGGGGAAATGCCATATTGCTGAAAGTAAGCTGGAACAGAGAGTGAGAAGAACAACGATAACCCAACGATTATGATGTTCCTCGAGCTTCCTGCTTCGCTATAGCGTAAGTTCGAGAGACCTAAAGCCGTAAACATAGCCCACATGAAGCAAAGAAGAGAAGCAACCATCACTTGAGGAATCGATGCTATAAAGCCTCCAACTTTACCTAAGCATATCAAAAGCTTCTTTAGTCAGATAAGAGTAAATGAAAACTTGGGAACATCAAAGCTAAATAAGCAGAGACAATGTACTTACCAACAAGTGAAAATATAACCAAAACACATGCGCCTAACTCAACGACTCTGCGGCTTCCCATTTTGGTCACAGCGATTGTGTGAACGTTTTCGGTTAGTGTGGTTGAACCGGTACCTGTACCCCAAAGACCGGCTAAGACACTTGTGAAGCCTTCAAGACCAATTGCTCGGCTCACAACGCCTCGTGTTGGAGGCCTTGATGCTACTAACAGAGAAGAAGCATGGTACGAACCAACCTGACCATATCATCAACTGATTAGTAAAAAGTGCGATACTTTGACTTCGAAACGTTGATCTGATGGTATCAGAGACACTAACCGAATCTACTGAAGCAATTATGGAGACGACACACATAACAAGAGACATTTTCCAGCTGAATATCGGCACACCCCATTGCAAAGGGTAAGGAAACCTAAACCAAGGTGCGGATCTAAGCGCGTGAGATGTATCGACACGACAGTACTTCATTCTGGTCATGTATTTTCTGCAGTGGCTAGATACAACGTTTGAGATGGGAACGTTTGGGTCACAGCCTTTGTAGGTGTAAGCTCCTGCTTCAGTTAAAAGGAATGCAGCAGCCCAAGTGATTGCAAGACTCAATGGAACCTGTGAGTTAAGAAGTTAAAGATGGTTTGGCCACAAGTCAAAAGCACAAATGAATTTACTGAACTACATGAGAATTTACCGTGTAAATAAGGAAGATCCGATGGCCTAAAACCAAGATTTTCCGGAGATACTGCAGCAAGAAATAGTAAAAGTATCACCATTGTGTTAACATGAACCTGATGTGATATTATAAGTTTAACCTAACTTCAAGAAGAAAAACAAAACTTGAAACTAGGATCCAAACAGACTTAATAATTTGATATGAGAAGTTTAACCTAACTTTATTTGTTAACAGTAACTTTAAATAAACTTACAAGAGCAAAGATGACCACAAGTAGTATCTGAACTACACCAATCTCAAGACATTTACCAACAAGCGGGAAACCGTAGCTGTAAAAGGAAAGTCCAACAGCAGCTATTGTCGGAGCAACAACTACTGGATTCACCAACCTAGATGAAGAAGGCCAAAAGATATTATGAACTCAAGTGAATACAGCAACACATAAAGCCACAACAACCACGTGTGGACAAAACACCAAATATGAAATGATAACTAATGCTTGGTTTATATCTTGAAGGTGTTAGCTTTGGACAGAAGCAAGAGATGTATACCTCAGAATCAGTGACATTAGGCCACTGTATCCAAGCACTACTTGAAAAGCAGAACCAATTATGATTGCACCTTGCAGCTCCCTCATGATATGCTTAAAGTTCTACAATATCAACCAAAACACAACACTTGATGTCAGATTCTTTGTACAAGACAACAAGCTGGAACATAATTCACAAACCATAGAAAACAAATAAATAACTGATTTCACTTTCATTGAGTACATCAATGCTATAGATAAAAGCAGAAGCATGATCACAAATGCTCAATGTAGTAAAATGTGGTTTCCATCGACTCTTGCCTAGTACATAAGTCTTTCTAATGATGATTCGTTACTTCTGGCTAAGTATTTGTGAATCAAAAAGAGCTCTAACGGTCTATTTGCATGATTACTGCACTACATACCCTAACAAATTGTCAATCTTTGAGTTTAAACAACATTACTAGCAGTTACATTACTATAGTAACACATCTATATCCTGAAAGGAAGAAAGAAAGTAGTGCACATACACAATGATTGGCATTTTAACATATAAACAGAGAGCAAAAGAGAATATTTGTTTTCTTACTTACATTATTTCCATTCAAACCTTGAAACTCCGGTGAGTTTATGATAGCCAAAGCCGGAGCCAGAAAAACAAAAGAAGGGCCTTGTATCAAAGGAAGCCTCGAACCAAACGAAGTATGCAACAACGTAGTGATCCCACACACAAAAAGTACAGTCGATACGACATTTGCAATATCCTCCTATAAAATCCAAATAAACAGATGGAAACTTAAATGCAAATTCCCACATTGATCAAAAGAGTTTAGGGACCAAAAGGAATCACTTACGTGCGAACCTCCCATTGCAGGAACTATGACCAATGGAACCAGAATCAATGAGCCTAACATTGAGAGGTAATGCTGCAAACCATAGAACCCAATTGGAACTGAAAACACACAAACAAAGAAGGTTATAAACTAAATTAATCCAATAGATAACAATTAAAGTAAGAAACTTTAAAGATCTATTGAGTCAATCTCTGACATCTAACAATTGATTTTAGATATAAATCTCTCAAAGGAATCTAGATAATTATTCTACCAATTATATGGTCACAATCAGGATTCAGGAGAATCAAACAACAATTAAACAAATGATTCAAATAATTAAAAAGAAGAAATCTTTCTCTCTCACCAAGTCCAGGAGTATCTCTGAGACCATACTTCATATGCAAACTTCTAGCCCCCAAATCATCATCCATGCTCTGTGGCAAAACCTCCACATTCTCTTCAATTCGGGTCGGTCTTCTAACCGGGTCGCCTGACCCGTTTGCTCCATCGGGTCCATTTGATCTTCCAGGAGCCCCATCAGAGTCTCTCCTTCTCTTAACCGGCTGATCCTTAACCGGAGCAATAGCCGCAGCAGGAGGTGGTCGTGGTAGGGGTGGTGGTGGAGGTGGTTGTGTTTTCTCGTTCTTATCCTTATCTGTCTCGCCGTTTGCTACTGCGGCGACAGGCGGAGGAGGACGGGGGCGAGCCTGACCAGCTTCGAGATCCGGTTGGTTATCCGGTTGTCTGGCTCTAACGGAAGCAGGCAATGAGGCTTGACCGGAATCGGAGGCGGCTGATTCGCCGGAGAATTTGGGACGAAATCCAGTTCGTTTAGCCCAGGTAGAAGGCGGCATTGCGGAGGATTCTGGAGCTGGAGGCCATGGACCCGGTTTAGGTCCGGTTTTTGGGTCGGAGCTTGACATTTTTCACGGATTTTTTCTCAGGTGTGCATAGTGAAGGTTTCTTCTAGATCTACAAGAGAAAAAATTAGAGAGTTGAAGAAGAAAACGACAAAAAAATTGGGAATTAGGGTTTTCTTCAAACACCAGAGAAGAGAGAGAGAGAGAGAGAGAGAGAGTGTACAGTGGTGTGAGAGAGAGAGTGAAGAAGTTCTAAGAAGAAGTAACAGTGAATGTGAGATTTAGAAGGAGAGAGAGAAAGAGAAGGTAATGTTCAGTGAAGTGAAACTTTCTAAAGAGAAAAATAAAATCTAAATCTTAGATTTAGATATTTAACATTTTAATTTTTTATTATTATATAAATTACGTCCGACATAATCGCGTGATGTCATAAATCTATTGCGGATCATATTATAAAAAGGAGAGTCTACTAAAAAAACAAAATAACTTATCTTTTTCTGTCGTCATATATCCAAAATACAAGCTTATCTGATTCTTTTTTGTTTATATGTCTAATAATAAAATCGACAAAATGCATGTTGCCAACAATATCTAATAATTTCTTCATAAACTTAAGATTCTTTTTCGAAGAAAAATTAATATTCGTAAAGTGTAGATGCTAAATTTTTAGAAGGCCAATATGAAACGGGCCAGGGCTCAGGCGTTTAAAACGCGATCGGGTTTGTTGAGCTCCGATAAATATTTCGGTTTGATTACTAACCGAGCAATTGAACCGGGTTTAATTTTTTTACAACTGAACCGTTGTCTCTCAGTCTCTTGGAGGGTTTAGTGTTTTCTGGGATTTGCAGAAGCTAATAGAAATGGCTGCAACTAGTAGGTCTGCGTTTCTGGGTTCAATCTCCAGAATCGCTACTGCTCGAAGCTTGATCTCACCCGAATCCCTCACAAACCCTAATTTCACTTCGTCTCGCTTCCACACGTCTTCTCTTCTTCAGACTCGAATCGAAGGTTCCATTTCGAGGTAAATTTTGGATTCTCTCTCAGTTTTTTTTTTCTTTCCCTGAATCGAATGTTATGTGTTTGTTAGTTTATCTTAATTTGACGCAAAGTTTCAATTTTTCATCTAACCCAGAAATTTTCTCAATGTCATCGCTTCCACTTGGTTTGGTTCTACACTCACATCTTATCAAGGTACTTTATGTTTCTCTGAATCACTAATGCTTTCATCAATTCGTCAAATGTGATTCTGATTAGGAACTTTTCTTCTCTCTTGAATCAAAGTGTAGATCGATTCGCATCTCTCGCCATGTATCTACCATACTCAACCACAGTCCCAACGCGTTCTCTTAGAAGAAGAATCAGCAAAAGAAACAATCCAAAACCCGTTCTTGACGAATCCAAGTTTCAAGAAACCATCTCAAAGCTCCCACCAAGATTCACCCCTGAAGATCTCTCCGACGCCATAACACTTCAAGAAGACCCATTAGTGTGTCTCCACCTCTTTAACTGGGCATCACAACAGCCAAGATTCAAACACGAGAACTGCTCTTACCACTCAGCGATCAGGAAGCTCGGAGCCGCGAAGATGTACAAAGAAATGGACGATGTTGTGAACCAGGTGCTCGCCGTTGGTCACATTGGCAACGAGAACCTATACAACTCCATCGTCTTCTACTTCACTAGAGCCGGGAAGCTGATTCGCGCGGTGAACATATTCAGACACATGACGACCAGCAAGAACTTGGAGTGTAGACCGACGATTCGAACTTATCATATTCTTTTCAAGGCCTTGTTGGTTCAAGGTAACAACTCTTACACAAGCCATATGTATATGGAGACGATAAGGTCTTTGTTTAGACAAATGGTGGATAACGGGATTGAACCAGACTTGTTTGCTTTAAACTGTTTGGTTAAAGGCTTCGTGCTCTCGCTTCATGTCAACGATGCTCTTAGGATATTTCATCAGATGAGTGTGGTTTATAATTGCGAGCCGAATTCGTTTACTTATGATTATTTGATTCATGGGTTATGCGCACAAGGTAGGACTATTAATGCGAGAGAGTTGCTTGATGAGATGAAAGGGAAAGGTTTTGTTCCTAATGCGAAATCTTATAACTCTTTGGTGAGTGCTCTTGCGCTAAGCGGTGAGATTGATGACGCGGTTAAGTGTTTGTGGGAGATGATTGAGAGAGATCGTGTGGTTGATGTTATTACGTATAGAACATTTGTTGATGAGAGTTGCAGAAAGGGGAAGTATGACGAAGCTAAGAAATTGTTGGAGATGTTGAGAGGGAGAAAGTTTGTGGACAGAGATTTGTATGAGAAGCTCATGAATGTTCTTCAAAAGGATTTGTAGAATTATGCACAAATGATGATTCTAGTTTGTTGTAAACTAACTGAATTTTTGGTGAAATTTATTTATTTGTATTGGTCTATGGTAATGGAAAATTTATGTAATTTCTTTGTTTTTTTTTTTTTTTAATTATCGTACCAATTATTCTAATTTAGTTGCTATCGATTTGCGTCTACACTCCCGATAGACACTCAGCTTCTAATAGTACTCTCCAAATAACATTGCATCCAGAACCTATTTCTCTGTTGCAACTTTCATATAGCATCAATTTCATCCAAAATTAAGCACTTGATTCAATTCCACCCATTTTAAAAGTTAAAATACCAGTTTCAACCCAAGAGCAAAATCAAAGACTTATTAATCCATAATATAAAAGTTAAAAACTAATTCAGACACGACCTATGATTATGTTTGGTTCACTGTTTCCCAATCCAATTTTAACCAAAAAATCTTCAGTCAAAACCAAATTTAAACCTGTCGATTTAACAATTAAAACTGAACTTAAACCCGTTAATCCCCACTTACCCGAAACCAAACCTCAAAAATTCTCAAATCGAGACAAATCCTAAAATCTCCAAATCACGACGAGCCCTAAAATCAAAAATTTTCTCAAATCTGTGAAATCGAAGATTGATTTGTTTGTGTATCATTGCAGCCTCCACTACAATGACGTTAGTTAAGTGGACATATGTTCCTATATTTTTCGAGGAGGATTCCGATGGAAAAGATCGACGAGCGTGAGACGGGTTCAACATCAACTTGGCTGTAGCAGAGTTTGAAGACGAAGTACCTATTCGACACAATGTATATCCTGATACAGACAATGATGATGAGGAGCAAGAATTTCTACGCACGGCTAAGAGGTGCAACAATATCAAAAGAGGTGATGGGAACTTGTTTGAAGGCCAGCTTTTCATCAATAGAGAGGCTGTTCTCGATTACGCTCTCAAAATGTGCCGCAATATCAAGCAGTACAGATACAACAAAGAAAAAATTGGCTTTGATTGTGCTGCTGAAGGTTGTTCATGGCGTATCTACTGTTCAACCACGAAAAAGTCTGGAGGGAGATGGCAGGTTAAAATCTACAAGAATGAACATAGTTGTGTTCCTAATGGATCATGCAAGATGATGAAAGTCCCTGTGATTGCACGCTTGTTTGTTGATAAAATTCGAGAAGAACCGGAGTACTTTATGCCAATGAAGATAGAAGAGCTGGTTATGCAAATATGGCATATCAATGTGTCAAGACCTCAGTGCCAAGCTGCAAGGAACAAAGCTCTAACATGGATTGAGAGAGAGCATGATGAGCAATTTGCAAGAATCCGTGATTATGGGGCTGAGATATTAGTATCGAATCATAATTCTTCTGTGGAGATTGATTGTGTGAGAAATGATGAAGGTTTAGATCTCTTTAATAGGTTCTATGTCTGTTTTGACGTCCTTAGAAGAACTTGGAAAGATACATGTAGACCATTGATAGGAGTTGATGGGTGTTTCTTAAAATCAAAGATGAAAAGGCAGCTATTGGTAGCTATGGGGCGAGATCCGAATAGTTCTATATATCCTATAGCTTGGGCTATTGTGCAAACAGAAAACAAAGAAATTTGGTTGTGGTTTGTTTGAGGAAGATAAAAGTCAATTTGAGAATGAATGATGGTGAAGGCTACATTATGATCTCGGATAGGCAAAAGGTAACAATTTTAGCATTATGGTTTTTGAGGTTTATGCTTTATTGTCATTGTTATTTATGCTTTAATGTCTATGCTGTTTGTTCTCCAGGGATTGATCAGCGCAGTGAAGATAAAGCTGCCAAAAATTGAGCATAGAATGTATGTTAGACACATCTATTCGAACTTGAAGGCTAAGCATGAAAGGAATCCGGAGTTGAAACCAATGATTTTGTATCTTGCGTGGAGCTATAATGAGGCTGATTTTAGAGAAAACTTGAAGAAGATATACCACTATGACTCGCTTCTGTATGAGGATGTGTTGAAGACAAAACCTGAGACTTGGTGCAAGGCTTTCTACAAAATTGGCAATCACTGTGAAGATGTGGAGAATAATTCAACCGAGCCTTAGAACAACACAATAGTTAAAGCCAGAGAGAAGCCATTTGTGCCGATGCTAGAGACCATTGCTCGATTTGCAATGGTACGTATTGCAAAAAGGAATGCTAAATATGTGGATTGCAAAACTGTGTGCACACCATATGTAGTTGAATATCTTGAAGAGGAGCACGAGAAAGCATCAGATTGTAAGGTCTTTAGAAGCACGAATAACACGTTTGATGCTCGTAGTAGTGGTTATTCGTATCGTGTCAGTTTGGTTAATAGGACTTGTACTTGAAAGAGGTGGGAGATTACAGGAATTCCTTATGAGCATGCATATGCAGTGATTATGCACAAGAAAGATGTGGCTGAGGATTATGTGTCCTATTGGTTTAAGACAACAATGTGGAGAAGAACATATACAGAATGTTTAGTTCCAACGAGAGGCGCAAGGTTTTGGCCAGTTGGAGATGAAACACGAGTGCATCAACCTCCGTCGCCACCACAGACTGGCCATAAGAGAGGGGAAACTGATGTTGATATTCAAGCTAAGAAGAAGGATAAAAAGAGGAAGAAAGGGATAAATGAGTCTCCTGTGAAAAAAAAACCAAAACAGTTAAAGAGAGTAATGCATTGTGGAATTTGTGGTGAAGCTAATCACAACTCAAGGTTTCATAAAAAAAACAGGTTTGTCCCTTTGGTTAATCATAATCGCCTTTGCTTTTTATGTGTTTAAAATTGAGTTTCAAAACTGATGTTGAGATGCTTTAGGCTTATGCTAGCAACGGGTTAGTAATATAGCTCAATTTTGTGGTTATTACAGGTTTCTCAAGGTGACTCAGCTATTGGTGAATCTTCTCAAGCTGAGCCTTCTCAAGGCATTCTCACTCAAGTTGAGAACTAATGTGGAGATTAGAGTAGAAGATGTGTATTTGGCTTAGAGAAGCTTCGGGTTTGTTTTTAGTTTTTGAAGCTTTGGAATAGACTAGAACCTTGTCGTGTGGGTCTGTTTTCGGTTTAAGAAGCTTCAGGTTTGTAGGTTTTTGACTATGCTTCTTAAAGACAATTGGTTGTGTTTGTTTTTGGCTTAGATGTTTGGTTTTGTTTGGATCTTTGTTGTTAGAATCAAACAAAATGCAGGTTATGTATGACAATCAGCTTTATATATTATGTATTTTGGTCTATTTTATTTGGTTTTGTTGTTAGAATCAAACAGATTGCTTGCAATCTATATCAATTAAACAAAGTGAAATCTGATTACATTGATCAAACACACAAGTACACAACATTGTGATTCAAAATCACAAGAGTTTTAACCATCATACTATCACTCAAAAGACACAACATTATCACTCAAAAGCACAAGAGTTCTCAAGCTCAATAACGACCAATACACTAACCTATCAGCTTACTACAACCAACAATGAACATACACTCATCACAAACAAGAATCATCATCTTCTTCATGTTCAATTTGCATTCAGCCAATACTTCTTCCACTCTCTCAAATATTTCTTTTTCTAGCTTCATTTGCATCTTCTCAAACATCATCTTCTCAAGCTCAATACGCTCTCTTGAAATCTGTTTCATCTCCTCTTTAAGTCTATCAGTTCGAGAAGACAATGTCTCTATCTCATCTACCAGTGCGTCGTCAACCCATTTGAAATTGTGATTATCATTGACAAGCTACAAAGATTCATGTAAATAAAAACATACAAAAATCAAATAATCCATTGTTTTATCATTGAGAATCACAATACAAAGTATGTTACCTTGCATGTTGCTGCATAAGCACACCAATAGTATCGTCGGTACGAATTCACATCAGATTTAGAGATCTTTGCAATAACTAGATCTCTAAACCAACATCACCATGAACTATTCCTTGACCTCTTGCAGATAATGTTTCACTTGAATTCCCAAATACATTGCTCATCCTCCTCATAGTTGAATTTCACGACATAGCTTTAAGAATTTCACGACAGAGCTCTCTATTTTTAGGATTCTTAAATTTCAGAAAATCAATTTGGGGATTTCTGGGTTTTAGAGGGATTTTTTGCGGGTTTATGGGTCGGATTTAGGTTCGAGTCGGGTTTTTTAACGGTTTCATTTTGGGTTTAAATGGTTTGGTTTCAGGGTTTAGATGGCAAACCAGTAAAACCGACATCAACTCTATATAACCGATGAGTATGTGGAAACTGGTATTTAACTTCCAAAATGGGTGGAATTGGATCGAGGGCTTAACATTGGGTGAAATTGATGCTATATGAAAGTTCTGAGGAGGAAATAGGTCGTCGATCCAATAACATTGCACGAGTAAATTAGTTTTGGAACATAGTGCTAAGATATTTGTCTGATCTTGAAAAATTTATCGTCTAATTTTAAAGGCAAATATTTAATGGTTGGCTGTCGTTAGCTCCCCCATACTATACATGCTCTACTTAATCCCTCTAAACTATAGATTTCTGCATATTCCCACCCAAACAATTTTTTATCTGCCTATTACCCCAAATTCAATTAAAAATTAAAATCGTGATCAATTTATAAAATTGCGTTTGGGTAGAAATATGCAGAAAATAAATTGTTTTGGTGGGACTAGGCAGAAGTGTAGTCTAGGGGGAATATGCAGAATTTATTAAATTCAGGGGGCTAAGCGCAGTTAATTTAATTCTTAAGTTTTTCAAAATATCTAATACATGATTAGCTTAATTATATCCACAACATATATTTGTATAATAAAATAAATATATATTTCTATGAAGAAATAGTAATAATATGATAATACAGTTTATTTAAAAAAATAAAATTGACATATATACATAAACATATCATCCTATTGTTTCAAAGATTTTGATTTGAAATACTAATAGAAAAATCTATTTTTCGGGATATACTTGATATTATAGGACTAATTTACTTGATATTATACAGCTTAACTAATACAATTTTATCATCATATTGACTCAAGTATTTTGATTATAATCTCTGAAATAAACGAATGTGTTGTTAAATCAGGCCACTAATAACTCCAAACACAGATGAGTTAGAGACTTCAAACTTAGATGTTATATGTACATCTTATGCTTAAATTAACACGTATGAATAATGAGTGGTTAGACAGAGAGTTGAAACCTTTTCTACGCCTTTCATAGTTCAAGTATTTTTATTTAAAGTGCTAATAGCAGGATTGCATGAACTATATTTCGGGATTTACTTGACATTACACAACTTATTTACTTGACATTACACGATTTAATTAATATAAATTTAGCTTATTATTCCAAGTATATTTGAAGTGCTAATATGATAAACTATTTTTTGGAATTTACATTATTACTATACATAATTTTGTTCACTTTCCATGATTTAATTAATATAAGTTTATCATCCTGTTAGTTTGAGTATTTTGATTTGAAGTGCTAGTTTGAAGAATTGTTATCACACGACTTAATTAATATAAATTTATCATCCTATTGGTTCAAATATACTAATATAAGTTTATAAATCACGAAAAATACTTTTTTCCTACTAACACTTCAAATCAAAATACTCGAACCAATAGAAAGATAAACTTGTATTAGTTAAGATGTCTAATGTCAAGTAAATAAGTCTTATAATATCAAGTATATTCCGAAAATAGTTTTTTTCTATCAATATTTCAAATCAAAATACTTGAAACAATATGATAATATATTTATGTATGTGTAATAACCAATGTTAGTTTTTTTTCTTAAAATTAATTGTGTTGTTATATTGATACTATTTTTAATAGAAAATACGTTTATTTTACTATACAAATATACATTATGGATATAATTAAGCTAATCATGTGTTAAATATTTTGAAAAACGTAAGAATAAAATTGACTGCGCTCAGCTCGCTGAACTTAATAAATTATGCATATTGCTCCCTAGACTACACTTCTTCTTATTTCCACCCAAACAATTTGTTTTCTGTATATTTCTACCCAAAACGTAATCTAACGAAAACATGATTTTGTAAATTGATCGCGATTTTAATTTTTAATTGAATTTAGGGGAATAGACAGATAAAAAATTGTTTGAGTAGGAAAAGGCAGAGATCTATAGTTTGGGGGGAGGGGATTAGGTAAAGCACGTGTAGTAAGAGGAGCTGACGGCAGCCAACCCAATATTTAACCTCAACATAATTTATATAATGATGTCAATATTATTAAAAGGTGATTTTAATTTATAACACTAGGTAATAGTTAAATAAAGAAATGAAATGTAATAATCAAAATTTTAATCGAAATATATTACACACAAAATTATGATTTTTGTGGCTTTATCATCATTTTATGCGATTTTAGTAGATAACTATTTCATTACCAAGTTAACGAATATAGTGTCATGATAATTATTTAATTACCATACTAACTAATATGATTTTTAATTAGCATATTGTAAAATATCAAGGTAACATAATTATCATCTAATAAAATATAAAATGTTAATTATGTTATCATATCATAAAATTAACCTTGTTATTATGATAGCCATCATACTAATCTTATGAAGTTATTATTATTTTATGAAATATATGAGTTATTGATTAACTAAATTTGTTAACTTTAAAAGTTATGCATGATTATTTTAATAACTACTTAATTAATCATCATCATATTATTAGTAACGTTATTGTTACCGCTGGTTCACTAGCATTACTGTCACCGCCATCACCATTATCACCACCGACACCATATGTTACAGTCACCACCATCATCATCGCCATACCACTACCGTTATTATTATTACCGTTACCAACATTACTATTACCGGTACTAACTATTTCATCTTCTTTTTTTTATCCTTCCTTTTTCTTCTTTCTTCTCTTTCTTCTCTTTTCTTCTTCTTTCTTCTCTTTCCTTTTTCTTTTTATTTCTTTTACTTCCTTCTTCTTCTTTCACTGATTTATTTATAAAAAAAAATCACGCAATTATAAAAGACATTTCATTCTTTCGATCGTAAACATATATGATCAAAAATAGAATTTATACACTTTATGGAACAAAATAATAATTTAATTCTCCATACATTAATTTTAAAAGCAATTCTATAAGGACAATATTTGTGACACCATGTGCAAATATTTCTGGTAAGAACATTGTTGAAAATTATAGAAAATATTTCTTGGTCAATTTTGATAGTTTGACCATGGTTGATAAATGGATCTACTCCCAGTACACATAAAATACAAAGTGTGATCCTACACAAATTTCATGTGTAAAATCCAAGGTGTGGATATGTTTCCTTCTCACATATCTCACACCAATTGTATCCTCTTGCATCATCTTTGTAGGATAAAGTGAGACAATGTTCGCCATGTTTGTATTTCACCTTATATTGCAAGCTGGCACATGGAATATTGAACAAAAGAACTTTTGATACAATTCAAATATTTCTTTGGTTTTCCACACATGGATTATACTCTATATATTCCTTCTTCAAATGTTAAGATTAAATGATGTGAAAGCAAGTCATAAATGTAAGGTTCGAAAACCAAAAGAACATCATACATCTATTTTGAAAATACATTGGCCTTCAGAACACGTGTATGCGAAACCACAAAAAAATGGTTTTTACCAGCTTCGCATTCGGATGCATGTTTCTGAACCATTTGTAGAGTAAGTGGATGGGAAGATGTACACACGTTTCATGGAAGATAAAATCACATTTTATGCAATCATAAATGTTATTTTCATAGACAAGAAGGATGCACGCTTGACACCTTCTTTCGTCATCCATTTTATCATTCTCCTTTTTGTCAAGTCTCATGTAATGACTAAGATGACTGAAATGTTTTATGACTCCATCATCAGTCAGAATGCTTATGGGTAGGGGAAGTGGGAAGATAGCAGATCTTGATTCAAAACAAAAATATGTTAGTAGCCTAGGCTTAGTAGACCTACCATTGTTGAGGAGCTAAAGATCTTAAATGCCATTGCCATATATTGGAGTTTCCCTGATGTTATACCAGCTATAAGCCAAAGATGGTCTCAGTCAGCTAATCAAAAGGCTTATCCGCATATGATAGCGGCATTCTTACCTAACAGGGCGTTCCCTGTGGGGCCTTACACACTTGCAGTCAAACCGTGTCCTAGGAATGATTCACATATCTCTTCAAACGGCTTAACATCTTCAATCTCAATTTTTGGTTTTCCTTCAAGTTATTTTCCATCTCACGAAATATTTTCATGTTGCATATTTAGAATGAACAACATAGTTGCAACTCTTCACACAAGAGCATTCTCCATAATATTTGTCAACCTTTATTAACAAACTCCACAAGACCAAATCTTATTGAAAATAGAAAGAGAAGGTGTGGAAGAGAGACGATGATCATGATGAGATAATTTTATTGTGGTTGGTATGTAGATACATGTTTTATGGATGATAAAATCGCATTGATAACAAATGTAGATGAAACATTTTTCATCACCCAATGCACAAACATCACAAGTTAGGGAGTTTTTTCTAGGGAAGTTGGTGAGGGTATGGTCATGTCTTTTTGGATAGTTTATAAAAAGGATGTTCTGCTTTATCGCACAGCACAGACAAGATGCAAAATAAAATCACATATAGAACAAGAGCAATAGAAACCTTTAGTGTCTTCTCCACTACTAGTACACTTGTTGTAATGGCTGCTTCCTATGTTAAGTGTGTTTGAAGATGGATGAAAAAGTTGGAGATAGATGAAGAAGTTAGAGAGGATGTTTGGGTTGATAAAGGACTTTGATCTCAAGTGGAGATTCAACACATTCTTTGTGGTAGGTTAGGTCACATCCTTCGCACCTAAAATAAGCAATAGGAAGTGTTTTATGCTTGCAAACGCCACAATTTTTTTTTTATTCCTTTGATATTCTAACCTAAGCGGAAAACATGGTGAGCTTTTTCTAAAGACAAATAATTTGGATATGCTTTTTGAAATTCAAGGAAATAGGTTTTTGGGTCAGTTTGTTTAAATAGTCGTACTCTAGGGCATAAGATAGTAGGAGGAGGAGGAGAAAGAAAAAGCCGTCAAAGGAATCCATGGCTCGTATGGCTCATACAAAAGAGGTTAAGAATGCACATAAGAAATTTAACAAGTGGTTTAATTTTTGTTTTGCGTAATCGACTCACATATTATGTATATGTATATATATATATATATATATATATATATAGCCAATATATGGTTAAAAGAGATCATATGTATATATTTTACACATGTGTGTAATCATTATTCCAGATACAAAGAATAGAGATTAGATTAACAAAGCATATGATGCAACATATCAAAGTCTAGTGCTTATTTTAATTCATCGCATATACTACTAAATTATACTAGTTTTGTAGAAAAAAGGTTACAAGACTTGTTAAGAGTTTTCTTTTGTTATCCATAATGAATCTAAGAAAGCGAATATTAATTCAGTGTATTATTTACTTTATTAGGTTTTTAATCTGCGCTACTGGTGGGTCTGCTACTGGTGGGTCTGTATAGTTTGATTTTTTTTTTTGGTTATTATCTATTAAATATCAAAACTATAATAGATTTATAGAAATTATTTTTATATAAAAGAATTTAAAATATAATAATTGGTAATTATGAAAAGAGTTAGCATAGATGTGAGTTAATTTCTATATAGATGAATTTTGTTTTGCTTTTAATTTGGATTTTTATATTGATTTCTATTTTATTTTGAGAAATATAATTTCGTGAATATCTTTTCCAACTGAATTTGATTTGACGAAAATATGCACTATTTATAAGAAATATTTCATATCATCTTTTACTTTCAAATATGATGTGGAAGATTTTGTGAATAGTTTTTCTTTCACTGTTAGTTTTATTTCTTTTCTACACTTGGTTTGTTTTTAATTTTTAATAAACCATTTATCCTATGCTTATAATATATTTGTTTCTTTAAAGGAATCTATAATATATTTGTTTCATAAAATAATTTTAACATGAACCACAACTAATATATTTTAAGTTAACAATTCAGATTTTTAATTGTTTGTCATGATTAAGATTTTGAAGTAGTTTAACTATAATTTTAAATACAGTTTTTAATTATTTTTTTTCAATTTATATGATTTTTATTTAATAATCTAATAATATGTTAATTTTATTTTTATTGTTAATAGGAAATGAGATTTAATTTACTTATTTTCTAAACTCTTTTTTTTAACAACTACTTTAAAATTTAGAAACTTTCCTAGTAACAACAAAAATAAAATTAATTAGAATTTATAAACTTTTCTAATAATAACAAAAATAAAATTAATTAATTTTAATATATATAATTAATTATATATGATGATGTGTACCAATAGAATTGAATCTTTTAAATCATATGTTGACACCTTTAGAGACCTAAGGCTTCAACTTAAAGAACGAGAAACATCCACATGGTAATTTAAAAAAAAACACTTTATGTAAAAACTTGTAGAATATATTGCAACTTCACGTAATAGTTTATAATTAATACTAATACTTTAGAAATAAATATTTTGTTGAATAAGTTTTGAAAATTATTTCCTATTAAAATTTTTGTTGTTGGTATAAATCTTCTACTATTAATTTATATTTTATTTTGGCATCTATGATTCTTTATTATTATTTTACTCTTTGTTAGTTAAGTTTTGTTGTTGTTGATATTACAAAGAGTTAGTTACAAAATCATGTTAATTTTCTTTTTAGAATTTTTTTTTATATTTTTCATTTAGATTTCATGATTTTCATTTTATTTTGAAAAATACGATTTTTTATGGTATTTATATATTTTTGAGATATATAATATTTTTTGTTACTCTGGCTTTTGATGGTTTTTAAAAGAGTTAACATAAATATAATATAATTTTATATTTGATGAATTTTGTTTTGTTTTTAAGTTGGATTTTTTTTTTAAATATTGATTTTCATTTTGTTTTGAAAAATAAAATTTTGTGAATATTTTTCCCAACTGAATTTAAGTTGACAAAAGTATGCATTATTTATAAGAAACATTTCATATCATTTTTTACTTTCAAAATGTAGAATATTTTTAGTTTAATTATATGTTTATATTTTATTTTGCCGTTACTTTTATTTATTTTCTACACTTAATTATTTTATTATATTTTTATTAAATCATCTACCCTATGCCTATAACACATTTTTTTCTTTAAAGGAATCTATACATATTTGTTCCATAAAAAAATTTAAACACATACTATAATTAATATATTTTAAGTTAAATTTTTTTTTAATTTTTGTCATGATTAAGATTTTGAAATAGTTTAACTATAGTCTTAAATATAGTTTTTAATTATGTTTTTCAATTAATATGATTTTTCTTTAATAATATAATAATGTGTTAATTTTCTTTTTATTGTTAATAAGAAAATAAGATTTAATTTTCTTATTTTCTAAACTTTTTCTTATTAATAACTATTTTAAAATTTAGAAACATTCCTAATAACAACAAGTATAAAATTAATTAAAATATATAAACTTTTCTGATAACAATAAAAATGAAATTAATTAATTAATTTTAAAATATATAATTAATTATAGATGATGATGTGTACCAATAGAATTGAATTTTTGAAATTCTATGCTGACACTTTTAAAGACCTAAGACTTCAACTTTTATTATTATACTAGGTTACTATTACTAATTTGGTTTAATTCTTTTTTAGTTATTACTTTTTAAATTATCAAACATATAATAAGTATATAGAAAAAAATTATATAAGAAAATTTAAAATAAAATTTGTAGTTTTCTCATAATTTTTGTTTATAAAAATTGAAATTTTAGTAAATAAAATAATAACAATGATACTTATCAAATTATCCAATTTTAACGTGCACACACGTTTAATTTAGAGAAAAGTTTCCTTACTGAGATTTTGGTGTTTTGTTTTGTTTTTCATAGAATTTCTACCATTTTTTTTTAAAGGTTTATATATTAAAATATTTAATTATAGATTGAATATCTTATTGATGTTGTGTACCTATGCATATATAATCCATGATTCATGTTGATTTGCATTAAGTTTTTTTTAGAAACTGCAATAATTGTAAAAAGCCGTTTCATGCTTCTCCACCATGTCTTCCACGAGTTTTATTTTTTTATATTTATTCAGTTTATCACTAAGAGTTATTTTTTAATATTTGTTAATTTTAGTTTTTAAACTTGTAGGATCGGTGTTGTGGAGTCTCCATATTAATTTTTTACTGTTTTTATCTTCTATGTGCTTTCTACATATTTTGATTTGAATATTTTATCTAGATATATCAATTTGAGTTTGATTTATAACTTTGTCATACTTTATTATTTAAATAGAAATTTTGAAGTGTTACTTATGTGTTATTAATGGTGGTTCAAATATAAATAGTAGCTATGTAGAAAAATCAGATTTTACAGATTTTTTAATTTCAAGTGTAAAGTTACTTATGTAGTATTTTTTTTGTTAGTTTTTAAATCAGAAGTACCCAGTATATTAATCTGTACGTTTAAAGAATATGTTTGATTTAGAATCTTGTGTAAATCTATTGCAATTGTAAATAGTTATTAATCGTAGATACGAATACTTTAGAAATCTGTTACTTTACATCTTTTGATAGTAAATTTATATTTTATTTTAGTTTATACAAAATTTTTTTGTATGTTTATTATACTTCATATTGTATAGCTTTTTTGATATTGATTCTCAAAATAGGCAGCATAGATATCAAGTTAATTTATTTTGCTTGAATGCTTTTTCATTTTAATTTTTTTTTTAATATTAGTTTTCATTTTAGTTATAATGCTGATTTGATATACTATAACGGTTAATTTTAAATCATATGTCGACTTCTCTCAAAATATTATTACATCATTTGCTTTTGTTTTGTTAAGTTTTATTATGTTAATTTTCAAAAAATGTTAGCCTAAATATCAAGTGAGTTTTTTATATGACTTCTTTCTTTGTTAATTTACCCTTTTTGATATTAATTTCTATTTTATTTTGAAACATATTTTTTTTGACAAATATTGACATTTTTACAGACATAATTTTCTCTTTTTATATTGATTTCTTATATAATTAGTGTAATATCAAGTCAATTTCTTGTTAGACGAGTTTTTAAAAAATAATATTTAAAATTTCCAATATTAATTTCAATTTTAATTGTATTAATATTTTGTAAAACATAGTTTACATTTTATTTGTTTTTATCTAGTTTGTTACTGATTTATATTTTTTTTCTTAGTTTACCTTTTGTGACATTGAGTTTTCGTTTTATTTTGACAGACGCTATAGATTTAGATTTTTGACATAATTTTCTTTTATCTGTTTTGTTAGTTAATTTTTTAAATTTTTTTTATTATAGTATGATAATTTTCTATTTTTGTGTGGTATAATTTATTTAAATTATTAATTATATTTATGATTTTTTTGGTTAATGAAAAACTGATATGGACCACTTACATTGAGTTTCTTCATTCTATATGACACCTTCAATATAGAGAAGCCCTGGAATCAGTGGACCCGCAGCGATCCTCTAAAAAATTCAGATGACAAAGACGATAATCACGATCTCTACTGCTCTTTCTATGGGCTAACAGGTCATGCTACTTCAGCCTGCCGACATCTCCACAATTCGTTGTATGAAAAATACAAAGAAGGCAAAATCGAAGTCGATGGAGATCGATCTCAGAACAAAAGTTCCTACTCACGCAGCTCCAACTCCAAGGATTCACGCCGAAGCTCCTCCAGCAAGGA